GAAAAACGGCCTATTTTCGCCCGTTTTCGGCTCCTGGTGCCATAGAGTTCCATGTGTTTCAGAGCTCCGTCGGCCACCATTATCCCATTTCCCACCATACGAATCAGTCTGCAAACACGACTCACCGCAATATCCGTGGTTCGAATGCCTCGTGCCAGTTTCCTTTTTGAGCTCATTGCCACGCGGCATTCGGAGCACGGATCTCGCGCTGAATCGCCTTCGAATTTCTATGAAGACTGTCTTCATTCACTGGCGGCCATAGCCGTGCATGCGCGCGACTGCTGAGCGCGTGCTGATGGCGAGCTTCCATAGTCCTTTTAAGGCGTGCATTTCGCAACCTTGAGATTACCGGTCCTAGCAGTCCTAGCAGCCTAGTAATGTGAGCTCGTTCTGAGCATGCGCTCCAAACATCGCCCTCAAATATGGCGTCCAGAGAGACTTTTCCAAACAAAGGGCCCCCTGCCGGTTTCATTTGCAGTGTTCGTGCGTATGCCGTGTCATTTGCTCGCTTTTGCGAAGCGGCAAACATGCGCATGCTGGACTGAGGAGACGCTTGGCTGAGGACTTGCAAACATTGGAATGGTGTATAGGAGGCAGTGCGACCCCGGCTTTAGACGTGAAAATGTCGAAAAAGACACCATTCCGGGCAGGGGGATAGATCACACCGAAGGCTTGTTTGCGTGTTTGTAAGTTCCGCCTCGTTCGCTCCTCGTTTTATCTGTTTTCCTTCTTAAAGGGGAACCCGACGGCTTTTTTATCAAGTAACACAAGAAAGCTTTCTTGCGAGAGCGGTCGGCGCACGCAAGCCGCGCATTTAGAGCTGATCGATCTTCCGATGTCCCCTCAGGATGTTTGCCTGCCAGTAAAGTGAGCAAAGCACGGGCTGCTTCCGGTCCCTGGTGAGTGTGTGTACAGAGTAGGAAAAGGGGGCCTTGCGCTCTCAAGATGTTCGTCCATAAGACAAAAAAATATATATATAAACGGATCTGTACTTGAACCGGGAAGGTCATGCTTCATCAGACTGGACATCTAATCTGCTCCAAGGTCCCAAACATCCCAGAATCATGCCTTGAAACAAATCTATAAGCTTACTACTTTTATAGTTGTTCCCCAAATAAATTCGGGACGAATCAGATGCCAATGTTTCAGAAAATTTTTCAATAGTAAAATGTTGGCCGACAACGCCCAGGAAGCTGAATGGCGCACTAACTATACTTAAAACGAGTTCCATATTTCCATCAAAAGTTTAAAAAAAAAGAATCGATTATAAAAATTTTTGGAGATAACGGTTAGTTAGTAAATTCTAGTATCTGGTTCTGACCGCAATACATTTCTGCGAAAGCTGAGGGTTTAAAAATGCGTTAATATATTTTTGCGGTAAAAAGAAAGCGCTGTAATTTACATCTTGTAGACCCTGATATGGGGAACAATAAAAAAAAAAAACGGACGAACACAACAAAATTAGAACGATAAAAAAAAAATGAACGAACACAACAAAATCTCGAGATTTTGTTCTGTTCGTCCGTTTGTTTATTGTTGAGATTTTGCGGTGTTCATTTTTTTTTTTTGTCATTCCAAACTTTGGGCCTACAAGATGTCGATTAATTACCAGCTCGCCTGCACTCTATCACTGCTAACACTGTAATTTGTTTTGTTTAATATATATATATATATATAAGACAAAAAAAATAAAAAAAAGATAAACGGATCTGTACTTGAACCGGGAAGGTCATGCTTCCCGGTTCCATTTTGTGGCTGCTAGCCTGGTATCTTTAACGTGGACCAAGCAGTAGGGATACACGACCGCACACCGGCGCGATGCCCATCCAGAGCGAAACGGGAAGGGATGGGAATTGAACCCAGGAACACTGGGTTCTGCAGCGCGAGCTGTCGCTCCAAGTGCTCCGAGCTGCTGTGCTGCGTAAACACGCCCGGCCCCAATCTCCCGGGGTTAGGTCGCGCTCCAAGCGACAATGTAATTTCAACGTCCTGAAAACACCAGACTTGAAGACCAAAAAGGGGACAACACGCGCTTCGCAGGTCTCCAAACACAGCTCCGACGTTTCTTCTCACTTCCATGTTTATCCAGGGTCGCCTTTATAAACAAGGAAGTGGAATAAACTGAAGATTGAGCGAGTAGACAGGCGAGCTGCTTTATGTTACACTTTTTTTTTAAACGGCGACGACAGACGAATAAGGAGACAAACGCAAAATGTCTCAAATTGTTATTGGATTCTCAAGGGTCGTGTTCCAAAATTTACTAGATCTTACTCCAGCGTAAGGGTTTTGTACCCTGGCGTTCAAAAACCTCCCCGCGTCATCACCTTTCAATCCACTGATCTCTATGACAATTGCTGGATCGCGCTTCCCCGCTTGTTCGCTGCAGCGCAAGTGAAGCCACTGGGCTTCACTCGCTTGGGATACGATTTGCCGTTTTTGCTAGCCTTTGCTGCGGTTTTCCAGCGTGCTGACGACACGTTTTCTACTCGTTCGTCGTCATTCGCCGAAGAAGTTTTTTGAAGACTCTGTGTATTGTTGAGACTTTCCGTTGTGAACACGTGGAAAATTTTACGAAAGTGCAGTGTCGCAGGAAAAAGGCACAACGCGTCGAAAGGAAGGGCTGGCGGCGTGTTCAAAGCATCCTTGGCACGCCGAAGTGCCGTGTCTCTGTGCCTTCGCACGCTTGGATACCGACCAAGAACCGACGCCGTGTGTATGTGTTCAGCGAGTGCAATGTGCGTGAAGCTGTTCGTGCCTCTAGATCAGCGTCTTTTCCCCTCGCGGTTTAGGAACGAGCTTAATCCAGCGTCCACTAGCGACGGAAGATGGGGAGAAGGTACGTCTTTTTTTCATCCTTAGACGATTTACACAATACCGTGCACAACAGCTCCTCATCACTGATCAGTGCTGGCTTATTATCAACCTACGCGACTCGCCTAATTGTAATTGGTCAACAGATTGCACACGACCATATCGGCCGCGCTTCAAAGATTTTCATTCTCGCCGTCTTGTACTTTTGCTTTCGAAAACCCCCCTGGCTCCACGTACAACGTTGCCCTATTTGTGCTCCCACGGAATCTATTAGAGTAGATTTGGGACATAGCCATGGTTAATATAGTACATAAGAATACGTACAGATCTCCCCCTTTTATTGATAGCAACTCACCGGAACAGCTGGACGATCCAGAACTCCGTGGCCGATATATATAAATGATCTAAAGGCATCTACGCGCGACACACGTTCAGAACTTTGGCGCGGCGTCAATTCTTGACCGGTATCCAAGCGTGCGAAGGCACAAAGATGCATCACTCGGCGTGCCAAGGAAGCTTTGATCACGCCGCGACACCGGCGACACGTTTTCGACGAGTTGTACCTTTTGATACGGCTTCACGCACATTGCACTCGCTAAACACATTCACACGGCGTCGGTTCTTGGTCGGTATCCAAGCGCGCGAAGGCACAGAGACACGGCACTTCGGCGTGCCAAGGATGCTTTGAACACGCCGCCAGCCCTTCCTTTCGACGCGTTGTGCCTTTTTCCTGCGACACTGCACTTTCGTAAAATTTTCCACGTGTTCACAACGGCAAGTCTCAACAATACACAGAGTCTTCAAGAAACTTCTTCGGCGAATGACGACGAACGAGTAGAAAACGTGTCGTCAGCACGCTGGAAAACCGCAGCAAAGGCTAGCAAAAACGGCAAATCGTATCCCAAGCGAGTGACGCCCGGTGGCTTCACTTGCGGGAGCGGCAAGCGCGATCCAGCAATTGTCATTGAGATCAGTGTTTCAATCTGTGTTGTCACGTGACACGACTCGCCGGAGTTACTCGGATCCATTTGGGTAAGATTTGGAACACCGCCAAGGTGTTGAAGAGTTCATCAGCTCGCCTGCATCTTATTTGTTACTTTTGACAATGTAATGTTTTGTTACGAGACTGGCAATCGACATTAGATCTGTAAGAGGCGAAACACGAGTTTGAGTGAATAAGAAGCTTGAACACTCGATGTTACAGAGGCCAGAGGCGCGTTTTTTGGTCACTGTTCCTTACTTCTTTTTGTTGTTCCTTACTTCTTTTACTTTTTAACGAGCTGATAGGACTAATCTGACATCGTCAAAAGCACACCATCATCATAATGTTGCTGTACGTGTTTTATCATCACTGAACCGATCATAAACAAAATAAGGTCCAGTGACTTGCACTTTTGAAACTGCTTAATTGCTTCCATTAGCTCGTAGCGTAGGCTCCATCAAGGCCAACGTTACTAAAACCACTCAGTTGGGAAACTGCCAGAGAGAATGCTCTGAAAAAGTGGCCCCAATCTGTCCACCAGAACCCAGCTAATGGCGAACAAAACGCCGCCATTTCTCCCGCAGCGGTCACTTGAGGAACTGCACGTTACTTCTATTTTGGCTGTAATCGGCCATTTTGGCGCCAAAACAGATACAACGGAAGAGGTTACAGGGATGCCACCCCCGTCTCCCCAGCGGACGCGCCGCGAATTACTACCGAAGTTAAAATGCACCTCCGAATTTCGAGATCAAACAAAAACACCCTCCCAATTTGACGAAAAATAAACTCCGAAAACACGGAATCCTATTCATCATCCTTCGGACCCCAGCAAGGGGAGGTTAGCACATAGCGCCACTAGGGTATTCTTAACTACTCCCTTTTTGTGTTCCACAGTGTGAAAACAGCTTAGAATAAAAAAAAAGGGAATATTTATTTCTTGCAGAGATGCCGTCGGACATTGGCTTCCACAATTTTAGAGCGTTTGGGGTGATGCTCTGCGCAGAAAATTAGTCATTCGGATGATACTACCAAATATTGGCAGTCTTACAGTTAGTCTACAAGGGAGTCCAATCACGTTCACCCGGCCTTCGCGCCAAGGAAGGAATTCTTCAGGGCACTAGCCCCATGCACGCCCTTCTGCAAATAACGAACAATGGGCATAAAACGTAGAAATACGTAAACCAGAGAAGAAATTGAGTAAAGCATATAGCGTGTAAAAGCAGTGCTTTATTGCCGACCAAGCGAGTCTCGTCATGCCAGGATGCGTACAAAAAAAAGCCTATCAAAAAACATTCCTAAGGACCGTATGTAAAGAGGCGTCACTCAAAAATCACGCAGTGCGATTCTTCGGCTTGGAAGTGACGATGGACTGCAGAGGAGCTCCGGCCGAGACGGCACTCACCGGGGCCGCAGGCACGACCGTGGAATCTGCGGTAGTGCCAGTGACGTTAAACAAAAGACTGGAAGCAGTCTCTGTACCATTAGCAAAAGCGGCAGTTGCAGGCACCGTGGACGAAGGTAGGGCAGCTTGGAAGGTCGACGCAGGGCCAGCGGTCCCGAAGATTGGAGCGACTGCCGACGCCAAGAAATTGCCAAGAGCAGCGACCGGGGCGGGTGCTCCGAAAGAGAAGAATTGACCGCCAGACGCTGAAGCCGAGTTACCCAAGGTGAGGATCTGCCCAGTCGAAGCATCAGACGAGGTGCCCAAAGACGTCGGGACGCCGGCACCGATGGTAGCTGCTGGACGCTGTTGGTCTTGGATGACCAAGACAGAGATAGGTCCCCCCGAGGACGGCTGAGCACTGCCGTGGTGGTCGTGGCCGTGTTCGTGATGACTCTCGTGGACGTGGGTGGCTGTGTGGGCGCCAAGGTGATGGTGGTGAGCATGGTCGTGCGGATGGCTCCCGACCGAGATGGTTTGAGAGGTGCGGTTGAGCCAGACGGAAGCGTTGTGAAGGGGAGCCACAACCGGGTTCACGAAGTTTTGCACGGCGTTTCCGAAGCCGGCAGTGATGTTGCTGACGACTTGCTGTTGGGTCTCGACAAGAGATGAGACAACACCCGAAGCACCGATGACGGTACCGCCGCTGGCTTGTGGGACCGTGGAGACGACTCTAACGTTGACGATCTGCCCGACGAAGACTGGCACGTTTTTGACCCGTATGGCATCAGAAGATACGGCAATCACTTCTTGCTGGGTCTGGGCGTCCTGGTGGTGATGCTCGTGGCCAGAAACGACGTGCGTTGCATGGTCGAGGTGATGCGCTGAGTGACTGTCGCCGCTGATCCCCACATTTTGGGAAGTTACGAAGGTTCGGGCACCGGAGTGATCCTGGGCCCCTTCGACGACGATAAAGAGAAGAGCGGCGATGAATGCAGACTTCATGGTAGCTTATCGTTTATGCCCAGAATGCGTGCTGCGGCGATTTGACAGCCTGTTTTATATCGTAAGCAAGAGGCGAACCTTCTACTCTCATTGGCTCTTTGTGTTGCCAATAGGGAAATTAAGACATAACATCAGTACGCTGAGTCAAGACGCCGCCGTAAGTCACGAGCACGATCATCTTGATTACTTTATTTCGCAGGGTCACTGCTTTCGATTACTACCTGGCTTCTTCAAAACGTGTCGATCGGAATTTGAGTTTGGGCGCGGAACGTCGTTCAATGACTTTGCGTTTCGGTATACTTTTTATTTGCAGACGTGTTCAGTAATGTTCTCATCATGAGGAAAACGAAGACCTAAAGACCCTCCGTTTTCGAGGGACGTTACGAACACCAAGAGCGACGATGACGTCTATCTTACTTCCTGCCTTCAGCAAAAGCTCACATAATAAAAAGAAAAACGCCACGTCAAACCGTTTATTGTTTTTTTGTTTTTTGTTTTTTATTGTGCAACGCGTTGTTTAAAATGACGTGACGTTCTGGGACCGAGTTAATTCTCTGCGGGCAATCGATGTTACGAGCTGATGGGATCTATCAAACAGCGTCAAAGACGCAAGTCACTGGTGCTTCCCTGTACATGACTGGTTCAGCGATGATAGAATGCGAACGGGAACTCTAACGTCAGCGCTAAAGTCGAGACTAAAAGGAACACGTTAAACAATGTAAGAGCACCCGCGTTCATTTTCCAGTTTTGACTTGCATATCGCTCTAGGCGGTGATGTATTTCCGTCGGTATACCCAATGGTATATCTCGGCGCTCGGCTCCGACCTTTCTTGTGGCATGAGGGCAAACGAGTCCTGACTGAGGCGTTCGTTTGGCTCGGTGCTCGGAGGGTCACTGTGCAATAGCACAAACTGTTACACATTTCACCAACCTAAAAAACGGAAGACGAAAGAAGCACTAACACGATCAGCTATCCACACGAAATGCAAGCGCATGCTTATCTTTCGACTACGTCGTCTCTCTGTGTTTGTTGTCTTTCGAATTCTTAACTTTTCATAGCATGCCCGTAAAGAACCTGAATGGAACCTTCCCTTTTTATTCTCGTCCTTTTCTGTCTCTTTCTCTGCTCTGCCCTGCTCCTTCTTTGTTTTTTAAAGTTAAGTGCATTACTTTTTTTTTAATAGCATGTAACAAGTTGATAATAAAAAAAAATGAAAGACGTTTACGATTTCCGGTAATGCCCAATAAGAGCGCAGCTCTTGAGGAGGAGGAGGGGCATACCCCCTTCTCCGTACCCTCCTCTCCTGCTCCCCTGCCGTTTAGCGGTAAATTTCCCGCTCTTGAGAAGGAGGAAGGGAGGGTACGGAGAGGAGGGTATGCCCGTCCTCCTCCTCCTCCTCCTCTCTTGAGGCATTTCGATTTTGCGATATACCGTGCTAAACAATCTGGGAAAGATATATCATGGTGATGGAAATGAAAAAGGAAGGACTCAGAATTCCGGAGCGGCGGTTGCAAGAAGAAAGATGTTATTTACAGAGTAAGAAAGCAAAAATAAAAGTCAGATAGAGTAGGAGAGCAAGTTATAAGAGTCATCAAAATATCTACGAAAGTCAGTCCGCCGACTTCGCTTACTGCTCACACGGTGTTAATGCAGAAAAGTCGCCTCGTTGTCGGAACGTTGGTTCTGGAGCCTAGCAAGACGGAGGAGGGGGGAGGGGTCCACTCTTGAAAGGGATGCTGAACCAAACATTTCAGTGTCCATAATAAGTGGCCTGACGTCCGTACGATTTGTGACGTTACTACACTGGAGTGCGCGCGGAAATTTTAATATTGGTTTCGGCATCGTGTTTATTTACGGCTTTCTCAACAGCTATTTTAAATTCCGAAACAATAAATAGCATACCGTGAAGACTAAAGCCCGGTTATTCAGAAACATTGCGGCTTCAAACTTTTTTTTTTTTTTTTTTTAGTTTTAATACGTTTACAGAGGGGGCTCCCAATAGAAAAAGTTGTAATTTTCGGGTGCAAAGCGATAATTAAACAAAAATTGAGTGAAGGGCAATATTTTGTGCATTTTGGTAAATTAAAAAAAATTAACAATAAAATTTGCGTAATCATCACAACATAGCAAGCTCTATGATGTTCAAATTACATTAAATAAATTTTGAAGTTTTTCGCAAAAGATCTCATTTTTACTAAATTATTGATTGATGCCTAGTTTTACGCCCATTTAAAACAAAAATGAAACCACATTCACGCCATAATTGTTTTTTGTTTTTTTGTTTTCTTTCTGCGAAACTATATTAGGAAAAGGTTAAGGACCTTGGGATAAAAAGTCAAATTTTCTTTTACAAATCGGAAATGGTCGGGCGAAATATCGGGGACGTTTCAGATGGAATGACCCTGCTACGATCTACAGTATATAGCTTCGTTCGATTTACCTGCACCGAGGCAGGAAAGTGTAGGGCGGTGTACTTGCGGTAACAGTGATTTCCCTACACACACCCTAGAGAACGGGGGGGGGGGGGGGGTTTCACCTTTCTTGTGTTTTCTGAAGGCTTTCCTTTAATTCGCAACGACTCCTCTATTCTCAATGCCACCCCCCCCCCCCCCCCCCCTTTCCTAAAAATTTAGACACCCCCCATAACTTCAATTCCTAGGAAAAACCATGCTTGCGGTCGTATCTCAACACACGCGCAGGGAAGTACACGGCACTACACTGCAGGTAAATCGAACGCAGCTAGTGATCTTACGGTCTCTAAACTTCGTTTCGCCATAAGTGCGAGCGAAGCTGCAGTTACAAGCGCGCCCACACCGCCTGGAACGACGGTTTTATTGACACAAGCGCGCGTGCACTGCATTGCATATTCAAAACGTGGCGGTGTGACATGCCACGTGGAATACCAATCTATGTGGCGCCATCTCGTAAAAACGGCCAAAAGCTACAGCCTATAAAACTTGAATGCTCCGCCTAGAATTCACAAGATGGCGCACGCTGCTTCATACTGCGCGCATGCGCAAATTGCTTTCTGGCCGCTTGGTCTAAAAACAAAAAAACCGAAACAAATATTAAGCGGGACAAAATGATGCCACCGGCCGCCGTGCGTAAACAGAGAAGGGGGGTGCCTCCCCGTTGGAATTTCGTAATGGTCCGTGTGGTACACCCCGGCCAATGACCAACAAGTCGCGGTGTTATTGTTTGTGCCGTGAACCATGCAAGCGTCAGCTTCTTCCGTTGTGTCTCCCGCGCCCGCGTCAGTTCGGGGACCGACGACAACGACACGTTCGCGATGTTGAGGCGCCGAGTCGACCGTCGTTGCAACGTGGGACAATCGGGCGACGGAACATGTTGGGCGGTTCGCTGGTGAGCTTGTTTAGGCAGCGCTGCTACCGCAAACCGAGTCGGCCGGCGACGATTATCCCTTTGTTTGTGACGGATCGGGCCGACAACTACTGTCACCCATGCGTGCGAAGCGGAGAGTGAACCTAGCCAAGCGTCGCTGCTGAGTTCAACAGCACCGCTAGGCCTCCGTGCAGTGATCCCTCCCTCGTGAAGTCGACAGGCCAGCGTCAAGGTGAGGCACCGCTCCGGGCGGGTTGGCGTTTTCGTGCCTCCGAGGAGCCGTGTCAGGTGCAAGATCAGCGTCACGGGTGAACGCCGTTTCACTTCCACGCGGCGGCAAGGGTCCCGTTTCGCTTTTATGAGTTGAAAAGGGAATGTTTTCTGGGGCTCCGTTTGTGTTTTCATAACTTGGCGTCGCGTTCGAAGTGGAACGCCGTCCGCGATTCGTCGAGGCAGGCCAGCGATCGTATCAAACGGATGCCGCGTTGCATCCGAATCCTTTATGACGGCGCAAAGACCTGGCGGACGCGGCCGTCCCATGTCGGCGACGTCATTTATCAAACACTGCCTATCCGCACCCTATCGAACTTCGAGTTTTTCCTGTTTATGTTGAGAGGCTAAGAGCTCCGAAGGATGCCGCGCGCGAGCGGCGTAATTGATATCTCGTTTCACTTTTTAGAGGCTGAGGCGGCTTCCCGGCGACGGTGACACTAAAAATGGAACTCCGGAAGGTGAGCTGAGCGGCCTCCCTGACATGCGCGCAAAATAAACACTGTCACCCTGTTGTTTTCTTTGTGCTGATGTCACGCTCTGTGTCTGCTTGCAGAGCCTCAGAAGAAAGTTCTCGGGAAACATACGGTATGCCAAGTTCCGCGGGCTGTCGTGCAAGCACGATGTTTCCGCGACTCGCATGTGACGTTCTGTTTAGTGTCGGTGTAGCTTTTGTCGGCACTCGTTTGTCACCCCAAACTTTATCCTGTTTGAGATAAATGAACACACGTAAAGATCTCTCAACTTTCCATCCACCCCGTTAAATAGCGTTTTTGATGAAGTTAAAGACATCATTTCATATTTGTTCGCAAAGTTTTCTTTCACAATTTGTCTTGAACATGTTACGTGCAGCAGAGGCACAGACACGAGACCTTGGCTTTAGACGGTGCTCTCCACGCACAAGCACCCGTGCAAACAGAGTAGTTTGCATGGCCATGCCCTTGTGCCTGTTCCTTTGATTGGGCTGCTTTCAACTGTACACACCTAGCATTGTGTTTATTATAGTAGTGTAAAACAGCACCAAACATGAATATCAGATGAAGGCGTCATTCATCGGTGGCAGCCAATTAATTCGTCTGCTGTTCACAGGACGCCGGGCCGTTGGTTGTTGTTTGCAGTGTATGCTCAGAACTATACTTTGTTTCACCAGAAGTCAGAACACATTCAAAGGCTAGAAAACATACATATGTGGATGCACAGACCAAACACACAAGGTCATGATACATTTGCTGTGCTTGATTGGTTTAGCCGGGGATAACGAGTGCAAAGAAATACGACAAGCCCGTGCGTTTTCGGCGCTGCTTTATTCTTTCCTCGGCTTCTGGCAATTTGGCTGCACTGAGTAAAGGTCAAACGAAGTTTAGCTCCCATTTATCGTCTTCCAAGAAGAATGGTACTGAATGGGTGGAATGCGCATTGATTGTTTATAATTGTATATTCCTTCCAATCAAGATATTTTTTTGTTCTTGGCAGAATATAAATGAAAGCAAATTATGAGCATGCACTGCGAACAACAAGCAGCAATAGGATGTCCCTTGAATGCTCTTTATTGAGAAAAAGGCCAACCAGACAAGAATGATACCATCGACACAAGGAGTTCCAGACATGGTCCCTTCGATAGTTTTATCCTTTGCCGAAGCCGTTTCAATGGAGAGTACTGAAAAAGCGTTAACCACGTCCATATCTGACAGAAGCCGTTTTGCTCCGCATGAGATTTGTTATGCCTCGAATTGGTATCATTCTCCTGCACTGTGCCCCACATTTTACTAATAAGTTGTATGTCTGGCAGATCCCCCATAGTAAAAAGAGACAACCAGGCTGAAGTGGTTATCAAGGGATGGCTCTTCAAACTGGAAGGGGCCACAATCAAGCAGTGGAAAAAGCGCTGGTGCATCCTGTCGGAGTATTGCCTCTTCTACTACAAGGGTATGCAGATCTTTGGCACGCAGTCACAATTGCATGAACAGCCATAGGAAAGAAGCACAATCTGATATTATATTCTTTTTGGCTTCAAATTTCACCAGACGTAGTGCCGATTCATTTTGATTGTATGTGCTGCTGGTTCAGTGGAAAGTTGGTCCGACTTGTGGTATCTTGGAGGATTCAAACTTGTGGTATCTAGGTCTATAGCTTGCATCGTGTTGCCACACTCACCGCCACACTTTGCCAGTGTCGAACCAGCGAGAAAAGTCAGCAAAGTTTAATGCTGCTCTCTTACTTCCCATGTGCCAGGTCCAGAGGAGGAGAAATGTCTTGGATCAATACTCTTGCCCAGCTACAAGATCAGGCAGTGCATTGCCGAAGACAAGGTGTCCTTGAAGCACTCTTTTGTGGTATGTGGGATGGGCTCACTTTGCCCGCTCAATTGAAGGTTCTTTGCTCTTGCAAACTATGGTTGAAAGTCACGTTGAGAGCAAAAGGTAAATGTTATCCAAGTGATCGTTGAGTATGAGTAGGTAATTGTAAGATATGCATGTGGTTAGCTATTAGTGATTAAAGATATCCTCTAGGCAGTAATGGGAAAGGAAAGTACTTTTATCTATTCAAAGTAGCTCAAAAGAGGCAAAGTTCTTGAAAACAGTTCATACTTTCACATATGGCATCAGAATGTTTTCTCTCTGCAATCGTTTTTTATTTTTTTATGGGAGGCTTGTGACCTTCATGCATATGAAAGCTGTGTAGAGGAATTATTTCAGATCAGACAAGTTTTAAGCAAAACAAACATGTCAATATACCAGGTAATATGTTTTATTTAAAACAGATTTTTAAAAAGATTACTGCTAAGTGAATGCCATCTTCGCTATACGTTTCTTGAGCCTGGCGGACATTCGGGGGGTGATCAACCGTCACAGTCTGGTGAGTAATTAAGTAAAAATTGTTCATTAACTTAATAGTGAACATAAACATATGGTTCCAATTAAAAACTTGCTGAGCGTCATCCAAAACCACTAAAGCAATATTTTTACAAATACTTTGAGTGCTTGGGAAGTGTAGTAGTGTGCTACAGGTAGCATTCCTGCAGCAGCTACAAAGCTGGGGCTATGATACGAGATGGAAAAATTGTGCAGGTGCTTTATCACGCAGGTAGCCTTGCTGCTGCTGCACGAGTAATAACTTTGGTGCACTACTGCGCTTCTCGCTCGCTTAAAGTCTTTCTGAAAACTAGTTTAGTGGTATTTGATGGCGCTCGGCAAGTCTCTAATTGGAACCATATTTCTATTTTCACTTATTAAAAAGTTAATTAACAAATTTTACTTTATTACTCACCAAACTTTGATGGTTGCTCGCCTCTCGAATGTCCGCTGAGCTCAAGAAGCATGTAGTGAAGTCGGCATTCACATAGCAGTAAAGACACCTTTTTCAAAAATTTATTTTTAATAAAAAAAATGTCACCCGATATGTGGGCAGTGCTGGTGTTCCCTACGCCAACAAGCCTGTCTTGACCAAGGGTCATTAAACATGTTACCTGAATGCATCCCTGTATCCCTTCCAAACACACTCCCAAATTTTCAGGCCGAGCATCAGAACACCAAGACGTACTACTTTGCGGCCGAGAACAGCTCCTGCATGTGCCAATGGATGAACGCCATGTCGCTCGCCGCTCTCATGCAGACGGAAACTCCGCACAGGTAACTCACGAAAATCGCCACGCTCTCTGCTTCCAACAAATTTTCTAACACACTTACTTGCACACCTCCCCCATATCTTTTCACCCCGAAGGTCCTTCGAGGTATTCGTGTTTGACCGTGCTTCAACATGACCGTGTCTACAACCTTTGCGCTAACCTGCTCTGCAACGGTCAACAGCCGCCCTACTCCAGTCGTGCAAACCGCACCACAACGCAAACGCGCGACCAAGCTTTTACTCTCGCAGACGGTCAGAACTAGAATTGTGAGACAGTTTCAGTACAATATAGAAGTACAATCGCGAGCGATCGGCTGAAAACACTGCCGAGAAACCGCCATTTCAGATTCTATGTTGGCTGCACATGGGTTGGCTTGGTTTGGCAGCGCTATTGGAGTACTCCTAAGTCCTACCGCTAGGTAACGCTATGCTAGAGCCTTTTTTTTTTTTTTGATCTCCGCGTAATTATTATCATCATTGTTACCATCTTGCTTTTTTCATTCATCTTTCTTGGTCATGGACTTGCACCTCTCATCATGTCTCAGTGAATCGGATTTTCGGGCTACGCTAGCTTGGACGTCATGGTTTCATCTCTTCTTTTGCCGTCGTGAAGTGTCGCCGAGAAGCGCAGAATGTACTCAACCACAGGGTTTGACTGAAATACAGTGAAAGCCCTTTAGAATGAACCCACGTACAGCGAACTATTCTCTATATCAAACTTACTGAAAATTTAAATAAAATGCATGTAAAAAGTACTTTTTATAACAAACAACATGTTGGCTATATCAAACTTTTTCCACCCGGGAAGGCTTCCAAAAACGTGCAAACAATCGTCTTCTAGCCTGTCCCTTCCCCCAAAAAAAAGAAGTAGGAAAGAAAGAAAATTCTAATAGCTCAAGTTGCGAACGAAATTGAGCAAAGAGAAACAATTCAGAAGGGGAGAACGCTAAAAAAATACACTAGCTTGCACGCTCAGAAAAAAAAATCTTGTCATCCCAGAAGGGTTGCCCACGAAGAGAAGTGATTCAGAAGGGGAGATAAGTTAAAAGAACAAACTCTGCTTGCGACAAACACATCGTGGAAGTTCGTTGTAAATGGTTTTTGCTATATCGAATTACTTGCTATATCAAACTGATCGTAGCGTTTCGTGCTCTTTGTTATAAACGGGTTTGACTGTAGTACCCTAAAAAGTATTTTGAAATGTAATTACTGGGACACATGGCAAATACGCCTAAACTGCTGACACTGAAAGACACTGATAAAAAGGTATTGCAAAATGTATCGGAAATACATTTGCAACATGGCCAGGGTATTTGAAAAAACAAATAGAGGAATACATTTTGCAGATATGCAGGTAGAGACACATGTTCTTCCGTATTTACTTGATTCTAAGCACCCCCTTTTTTTCGCGATCGCGATGGCCAAAGTGGGGGGAGGGGTGCTTAAATTCGAAAAATCTAGAATGACCCCCCCTCCCCCCCCTCTTTTCGCTGCGACATGACGACGAGACGGGTGCGAGAAATAACATTTCATTTTGCAAACATTCAAAAGAAAAATTGGTGGAGACAGTGAACCCATTGCTTGTGTAGGATGCTCAGTCACTGTCACTGCCACTGCCACAAAGGAACGCCCACCCGCGTTGCCGCAAAAGCAAAATTTGCCGAGCGCTGCCGATACCAGGCCCACGTGACAGCATGCTGATAGCGTTATCAGGGTTGCTTTCAACCTGTTTTTGATGTCCTGTGCCGCCATCTGTCGTGTGGCGTAGGAATGCAGCAATGGCGAGCACGGCTAGCACAACCAAACTGGAGAGGCGCACGGCCGTCACGAGCCTGCGTGCTTCTGCATAGGGGGGTGCTTAGATTCACATGCAAACATTTTTGCAGGTGTTTATGTTTGAAAGTGGGTGGGGGGGGGGGTGCTTAGAATCGCGAAAATACAGTATATTAATTTTGCTATACCTGTTAGCCAGCAAACAAGAACTCACAGTAGGATTTCAACATGCACCTTTTTGTTCCTTAAATGAATAAATGACTCCTTCAAAAAAATTACAAGATACATCCAAAAAAAAAAAAAAAAAAAAAACTCAAATTAAGATGCACAGAAACAAACAGTTCCTAACGTTTCGGGGTCGACTTGACTCCTTCAGGGGGAGACTAAAAATGGAATGGGACAGCGAGATACCAAGTGCGAAGTGCCCCTCCGCCCACATCGGTGAAACTATATATTTTCCTAAACGCATGTGCCAACACCAGAATGATTTGCGCAATTTCGATCGCGAGCATAGCTTTGTTGCGGAACATTGTGAGGTACTTGATCATGATATCAACTTTGGGAACGCGCACGTGATAGACAGAGCCACATGTCCGAAATCGTATGTTCTTGGAGTCGTGGCATATTCAGAAAACACCAGGGAACATTAACAGTTCCCTCGCGGCCTTACCATCTATTTACGTCCATGGCCCTTCGTCCCGTTAACAAAACATCAACTCGGTAGAAGAGGAAGAAGAGGTCGAAGCTCTCGCTCTCGCTCTCCCATTCCATTCTTAGTCATCCGCTGAAGGAGGAGTCAAGTCGACCCTGAAATGTTGGCAACTGTTTGTTTTTGTGCTTTTGGTTTGAATTTTCTTTTTTTTTCGGATTGTTTCCCCAAACCAGACAGATTTCTGTCGAAGATGTTTACTTTCGAGATACATCCGTCCTTGATAGTATCGCGATACTGGGAATACACCCGAAAATGTATTTTAATACAGAAATACAAAATAAGTTAAAAAATTGTATCGCAATACAAAAATATAAATACAAAATGTATTTCTAAAATACTATCGCGATACATTTGTACCGCAATACTGCCCAACCCTGCTCGACCTTAAAGCTAGAAAAGAAGGCAGCGAGCTAAAAGAAAGTCGCCGAACGGAAGTGGAAGCGTAACCTGAAGCAAGGCACTATTGGCATTTTTTTTAAGCACGCTTGGGCATAATAAAGTTTTTTATTGTGCTAATTTTTCAGGCCTAGTTTGATGTGACCGCATTGATGAAGTTAAATAAAAACAGAAAAAATAAACATAGGGACGGACACGAAAGAGGTGCTGTTCTTCCCGTCCTTATGTTTATTCATTCTGTTTTTATTTAATTTTTCAGGCTGCTCTGGTATTCAAATGTTTTTCCAGCCCTTGCGAAGTCCGAAATATTGGTCGGCTACTGTACATCGACCCATCCTTGCATTCATTTAAGTGCCGGAGCCACGGGACACCGCCAGAGACACCATCCCCCGCCTCACGGCTTTCCTCCGAGCTACGAGCCGCGCCCTCCCTTGCACCAGCCGCCCCTCCGGACATCGGATGAATCCTTCGAAGTCGAGGGCTATGCCGTCGAACACCAGTACCTCGGCAGCGGCGACCAATACCCGTGCTCTTATACGCGCAGCCCAATCTACGACCAGCGTCCCGGCGTCGTCCCCGGACCGCGGCACCCCGTCTACGCAAATGCTCCCCCAAAGCCGCTTCGTCACGGCGCCCTGTCTCCGACCCAGGGAGGCTACGACGGATACAATGGCTACGAAGCCTACGACGGGTACCCTGGGTTCGAGGGCTACGACGGATACGACCCGCAAGAACAGCTCCCGGCTTACGCGGGAAGACCGAGATCGGCGCACTACGGCGACAGCGTGGCAGCCGTTGCGATGCCGGCGTTGATGCGGCCGCATTCGGCCGACTTTCTGGAGCGTGACGAGGAGGCGGACGTTGGGGAGTTCCGGTTCGGGAGGGTTGCTGCGTCCGCGAGGCCGCGTCCCAAGTCAAGCATGGCTCAATATGACTGGGAAGACGAAGGCTACGACGAAGATGAGTGGCGAAACTGCGGCGGGGCGGTTCCTGTGGAAAAATTGGTGGCGGGTCCGCAGCGTGGCGCGGCGCAGGACGACCCCCGGCGTCTTTTGGTGGGGAGGCGGGACGATGGTGGAATGCAGACAAAGAAGGCGGCTCATGTAAGTGATACATTTGTTTTCTTCCTGTCGTTAGTCCTCGGCACCTTATGGCGACACTTTGTGCCGTCTTGCCATCGTCTTTGTGCCACATTGTCAAGGCTAGCATAGTTTATACAGTGCTTCAATGCTGTGAGGGCTATTTGCACGAGCATGTAGCTTTGTGTGATATGTCCTTTTTATGAAAGCATGTGCGAATGAGACGCTAGATGAAGCCACGGCCTCTTGTAGCAGTGCCGGGCTGCAGCACTGTGGAAGCTACCTTTGACACGATGGAAGAATAGCAGGCAAAAAGACGAGGACAGGGTCAGGAATGGTACACAGAAGACAGACAGGTGCTAACTCACAACTCAAATGGGTTGTATGTTGAAAAGAAGAAAGAAGCAGGAACATGCAGCAGGCTAGAGGAAAAGAACACTGGCACCTGGAATGCAGCAAGGATATCAAACGCATTCACCAGTCTTAAAAGAATGAAGTACACACGAACATGCGGAAGGCTTGGGAGAAAAAAATCACCAACATGAAAGGCGCGACGATGACTTCAACCTTGCTCGCTACTCTTTAAAAATGAAATTTCCTTGTCAGTTTAATACAGAAGGCTGGCTGACTCAGCAGTCTCCCGAACTGGAGATTATAAACGCTTCAAATATTTTTCTAGTGTGCTTGTCTCTGTATGGATCTAATACAGTAGTTTGATTTAAGTAAGGTACAAAAGAGCAGGTTGTACAGTGTGACGGTAGGTGACCCCTCCCACTGTAGGTTGCAGGTTGTACAGTGCGATGGTAGGTGACCCCCCACCTACCATTGCGCTGTACAACCTGCTCTTGTGCACCCTACTTAAATCAAACTACTGTATGAGGTCGACACAGAGACAAATATACTGGAGAAATATTTTGAAGCATTTATAATTTCCGGTTTGGGAAACTGCTTTGTCAGCCAACCTTCTGTATCCTTAGCTGACAAAGAAAGTTCTTTTTTAAAGGACACATGCAAAGGAAAAAAACATTTTTTTTAGCATCCTGGTTGGAAAAAGGAAGTTTTAAAACAAATTTACATCAAAAAAGAAAAATTTTTAGAGCTATATCTACAATGCGATACAAATTTGTAGTTGGCGCCCGCGGGCGCCGCGGAAAAGTGACCCTTATTTATCACGTGACTGGTACTTATTTGTCATATGGTGCTTGCTCTCTTTCAGAAGCTTCCAATGGCCTCTAAAAGTAACTTATTCATCTTTGTTTGAAGTATAACAAAAAACTAAGATTATTAAGTAACTTTTAGAGCCCAAAGGAAACTTCTGAAAAAGCGCTAGCTGACGTGATAAACCCCTGCACCGGTCAGACGACGGCGGCAGCGCCCCCAAGCAGACAAACTTGCGCTGCGGCAGCTACAGTGGCGTGGAGAAACGCATTGAAGCGGTGTCACGCAACGCTCGGCGTGCGGCGGCAGCGTGACATTGCGGCGGCAGCGACAGTCGCCGCGCTCCGTTACCGGAGCGCGGCAACATTTTTTGTTACCGGGTGGTGTTGTGACCAGTGCTACATTCCATTGAGCCTGTTGAGGTGTGGCAAGTGCCTGAATCACTACTCTGATGGGGAAAATGCACACCTTTACAGTAGAGAACTTCACTTGATGCTCTTTTAAAAATCTCTCGGAACACAATCTCAAGGCTGTCCTTTTTGTCTAAAGTGTCCCAAGTGCTTGGCAGGCTGGGGTGTGTAAAATAAAAAAAGGGCAGCAGCCATACAACACTGGTGAAGTTTTCACGCACCCAACACCATTGTAATGAACCACATGTTCAATTTCATGTGTTTATGAATTTTGACAATTATGTTACTTTTTAGTTTAAAAGATTAAGCATAAAGATGTATTTCTCTCTTGACTGGATACCTTTAAAAACATGAACTTTTGAGGTGCCGATCGGAAGTTGTTTAATTGTCCAGAAACATTTTCAGTGCTTCTCTTGTTGTAATGCTCTGCTGGCATGCAGTACAAGAGGCTATTATAACAACCCAGTTAATTTTAAAACCACTTAGACAACAAAGCTGAGAAAAAAAACAACCATCAAAATTGGTATGAAGTTGATCAAAGTCCAGCAGAAGGCAGCAAGCACGTGCTGGAAGCGGAGCCTCCACTGAACTCTTAGCCTATCATCCACTGCAGGATTAGTCTACTGGTGATGAAGTATCAACAACAAAAAGGTTGCACGGTGCGGGGCATTCATGCTTTACCCACGTTCCCTCTGCACGCAACACAGAAGGAAGAATCGATGAAGCGGCTACTGGAGTGGAAGCAGCGAATGCTCCAGTCTCCGCTGCGCAAGAAACAGGGCCAGCAGAATCTGGTGCCTTCCTCGTTCGAACTCCAGTCGGCCGTGCTCAAGAGGCCCACCCAGGTGCTCGGTGGCGACGTCAGGGCTCCGCCGGAGCGGCCTCCGCTCCCCGAGGAGTACAGGAGAAGGGTGCTGGACGAAGTGCATGCCCCCGGCGAAGTTTGGACGGGTCAGCGACGCCTGTCGGGAGGTCCGTTGCACGAACCGATCGCCGGCAGGCCGCATGAGATGCAAGATGCCCCTGGACCGGATCTCATTCGTAAGCATGCCGTTGATTCCCCTCTCCGTCGCAAAATTTGTTGTGTGGTCGCCGACATCCTTGGAAAAATGCCGAGGTGTTTCTGTTGTCCTGTCGTGAGCTCGAGTGAGGGCCTTGAACGTGTGTGTACCGTCGAGACACCATGGACAGGCCTGTCCCACAGACAAGACAACTGAAAACTCTTCGTAGTCGTTCTAGGCCGGCAGTGACTACGGTGGCGCTTGCGTGGCCTGAGAATGGCCTTTTTTTGTTTGGGAAGTGACGTTTCTAAAATGCATTTCAGAATTGACTAAAGCTGACTAATGCAGGCCCTGCTTGTACAGGCACATTTCTGGGAACTTAATTTACTTGTCTGGGAACTTAATTTACTTTAAAATAGTAAATAGGGGTTCAGAAAAAACGGCTGCTCTCCAATGTTGCACGGACTTGACTCAACAAATCTATGCTTCTTTATTTGTTCGAACTTGGTGAAATACTATGCTGTTTAAGGAATGACCTTCTCTACTAAAATTTCTTGTTGCGGCTTGTTTTTATACAGTGTAGACCGCATATAATGTATGTCTCGGGAGTCGCGAAAATCCGCACTATAAGCGGTACCGCACTATAACCAAAACATCAATTTTTCAGGCCAAAATACATGCCATGAGACAACTTACCTTTGTAAAAGAATTTATTTTATGTTAGATGAAAAATAAAGCTTAGTTTGAGGAAAGTCTTTATATCACCAGGCAGTTCTGTCACAAGTGTGTCACACATTTTGAAAGAAATGAGCGGCTTTTGCCTGGCGCAGCCTTTTAACGGCGTCGCGGGTTGCGGACGGACGTTGTGAGCGTTCAGGATTGCTAACCCTAATCAATTTTCTCCGGAGATGAAAACGCGTGAAAATTCGCATCCTTCATACGGTACGCGCCAGTAATACCTTGAACTTTAATACACACATGCAATGCGCCAAATAAGAAATCCGGGCGATGTTCGAGGACACAAATGCTTAGAAATCACCACTGTAGTCGAAGTAAACAAACACGACGACACGGGCGTTTCTGCCGTCTTGAGAGCGCCGCCACGACATCGCCGCACGAGTAGGTGGATCTTCCCTTCTAGTACGTGCTGGGTTATCATAGCGACACACAACGAAAATTCACAGTCAAGGATAGCGCTTTTACGCAGAACGATGAGATGCACGCCATCTACGACGACGATCACAACCGACGCCATGTTTGCGGAATAGAAGCAGCCAGTCTGCGACCGGCATGCAACGCGCGCGAACACTTCTCCTCGACCTGCGATTGGTCTGTCGTTGCGGTTGTTTGTTTCTTTGTTTCCAACGCAGCGGAGAGACGCACGCACGTGAACGACTCGTGCGTGCGTCCCTCCGTCGTTATGGCAACTGAAGCCTCTCTCTTCGCTTCTCCCCGCGTTTTCGAGCAACTTCCTTGCCCCGCAAGTGCAGCTTGTGGCTCGCGCCGTCAGCGCCGTTATCTAGTGTCGCACAGGGAAGCGAGCTCGCTGCTCCGGTCGGCGGCGCGGTCGGCGGGCTGTGCCAAAAACCGCACTATAACCGGTATTTCCCTTCGCGCGCCTGCATTTTAAGCGGTATGTAATTACATGGAGTTCTATGGGAGGTGAACCGGTGGTTTAAAAAAAACGCGTTATACCCGGTCCTGCACTATAAGCGGTTACATTGTAAGTGGTCTATACTGTATATATACATCTAGACAGCAGGGCTGTCGTAAAGCCAGCAAATAAGTTTTGCATTTTGGAACTACAGTCAAACCTCTATGTAACGAAACCCCCGATGTAGCGAAGTACATAACTTTTTCTAACCGCAAGTGTATGCACGCCATGTATTTTTTACCTCTATATAATGAAGTCCCGTTTGCCGAAATTTCTATGTAACGAAGTTTCATGGACAATTCGTCACAAACTTTTAGGTCCCAAAAGAGATTTTGGGAAGCACATGCGCTGAAAGGGGCCCTGATAAAGTGCAAAGGGTGAACAGGCCAAATCTGGCGAGCGGGGTGTACAGAACGGCCACTATAGGACACTAGAGCTGCCGCCATTTCGTCGGTCGGCTTCGTTCGCGCTGCGTACTTCGTTTCGAGACCTAACTTAACGCGTGCATTTCTCGTTTTCCTGGGCGATGGAGCCTTGAAGGCGATGGAGCCGCCCCTGACAACGTCGACCTCGACGACTTTCCATACGCCGACTCTGCTGTCACTGCTACGGAGGAGGTGACCGACCAGGTGATAGCTAGCAATGTTCATGGAAACTCACGAGGCGGGGACGACATCGAGCCTGATGAGCAAGACACCTGCAATGTGCTCAGTAACCGTGAAGTAGTGGACGCAATTGATGCCTTGAGGCGGTTCGCGAGCACACAGCAAGACGAAGATTCTATGCAGGCTGTCTGGCTATGTAAACGTCATGGGATGCTAATAATAATGCCAACAGTGGCCCAGAAAAAGGTGATGGACTACTTTCAACCAAAATAAAGGCATCCTCGGTGAGTGTTGTGCACCCGAGAAACATTTATGAAAACTTTCTTTAACTTTAGCCCCGAATTTCAATGTAACGAAATTTCAATGTAACAAAGTAAATTCCGAATTTTACCAACTGCGTTACATCGAGGTTTGACTGTATTCAAAGTCCCCTGAAGACAGTAAATGTGCACGGTTCTCATATACTTAAAACAAAATAACAGCCCTTTTCTTTCTCACTGGCATTAGAAGACTATTTAAGCATACATTTAATGTACACAGCAGCACAGTTAGTGCAAACATTATATTAGCACTTTTTCACCTTTTATTGGCAGTCATCAAGTTTTACCACTTAGGTTAGTGCTTCATATGAGTATAGTACCTACGACACTACTACTAGTATTGTAATAGCTTTGATAACAGCCCTTCGAAAAATAGAAAAAAACAGTGATTGCTTGTTGCAGTAAGATTGTTACGATATCCACTTAGTACTTAGAAGTAAAGGTGTGCGAATACTCGAATATTCGAATTGAATAGTAAGTTCCCGAATAATTTGATTTGCGAATCTAATTCCTAGTATTCGGTCACTCGTATATTCGGCCAAAAACGCGTGGTAGGTGCGGAGCTGACGCAAGAGCCGTTTTTTTTCCCGATGTTAGCGCCGTGATGTTAGACAGACCATGTGAGAAACACCTTTCGGTCGTACCATTCCACAAAAATCGAATGTGCAGGTTAGAAAAAAGAAAAGTAGCGAACGCCAGAAACTTCATAGCATTCAGGTTTACTCAAGATCGTGACACAATCTAACCTTGAGTCACAACCGACACATCCCGTTTGCGCCGCTTCCAGACAGGAATTGTTGGGAGGCCGGAATTCTGCGCCAATCCTAATTCTTTTCATGAGTAAAAAACGCCGATGTAGAACACACTTGCCACACTCAAAAACCGGCGACTGTAAGGTCACAAAAATAAAACCACATCAACACGCCGATGAAACCAGCTGAGTTGTCATCGTCGTCGTTCTTTCAGAACCGCAAGCCGCAAAATCTGATTCGGAACGAAACGGAAGGAAAAAATGGTGTGCCTAGATTTGAGAGGGTTTCCAATCGTTCGACAGCCGTGTTTGAATTACAAACTGCGAGAAGGTGACGAAAAGACGAAAGCGTCAATCGGGCAGGCGTCGTCGCTCTTCCGTTTGCTCGCCTGCTTTCCAAGTGACTGCACAACACACGTGCACTTACGACAAATCTGCGCAGGAGCCGTCTCTGTGGTTTCAGTTTCGCTTGCTCCCTCTTTTAAATCTAGGCTCTCTAAAACAAGATAGATGGACGGAGGAATGAATGCATAGCAGCAGTTGAAAGGTGACTTGCGCCACCTAACCACATGTTTTTTTTTTCTTACTTCAGATTATATCGTTTAAGCTTGTTTACTCAGATTTAAATTGGATCTTTAGTTCCCAACGTCCATCAGCAGCTGCTGTTTTTCTTTTTTTTTTTTTACCACTATTTTTGTACATTTAATCTTTTGTTCCAAACGACATGCATATTCTGCACCAGGTGCATACTTTGCACATATAATAATCTCATTCAGAGCACACTTTGAAAAATTCCTACAAATAAAATCACTATTCAATATTCTATTCAATATTCTGCTTTTTTTTCTTAATTCAATTCGGTATTAAATTTGAAAACTACTATTCGGTATTTGCACACCCCTACTTAGAAGGGATTTTCACTTTGTATTGCTTTTGCTAGTTGTAGCTTTTAGGACAAAAGTGTTTCGTTTCATCCTCAGTCTTAGCAGTCTTTCTAAGACCTAACTTTAGAGGTACTATGCACGTTTTCACCTTAAGAAAAAAGGAAGTTTTGTGCATTGTTCATACGCTGTGCGAAGTAGTTTTTACAGGATTTGGTTGTCAAAGTAAGGAGCGATGCTTTTGACATTTGAAGTCTGTATGTCTTGAAAAGGTAACATACCTATATCTAATCTAAAATGCACCTACATATATGTTAATTATCTACATAAAGGGAGAAATTAGTAATGCTATGCTAGAAGCCCCACTTTTGTTACTACGGTTCTTGAGATGAAAACGAGTGTGGTATGGCATGCTACAGCACTGTGCGTTTCCCTTTTGTGCTTATTAGCATGAAACATTGTTTACTTTTTTCTGTTTGGTTTTTTTGTTTCTGTTGAAGATTTTGTTTACCCTTTTGTTAGAAAGTTAACCACCACCAACTGAGGGACTGTTGCACTTTGCTCTTTCTATTTGCTGGTTGCCTCTACACAACAGCTATAAAAAAAGATGGCTGCTCAAGATGCAGCATATCAGAAGCTGAGCGAGCTTTTTCAGAAACATTACAAAACTAACTACAATTCCCGAAACTAAGCCTTTAGACAGCGATAGTTTTCTTCTTTTTTTCCTAGCAAAAGAGATAAAGGTTGTTGTGTTCCCAATTTTTGCATTGTCGTTGCTCAATCGGCTCGCCCCAGTTTAAACAAATTCATTAACAATTTGTAGTAGATTTTTTGCAAGTAAACATCATGAAATCTAGACGAGTTGACAGCCAGAATGAGAGTTGCTGTTAACAAGTTTCAGAAATTCAAGCTTATTGAGTAAGTGCAACAGTCCAATGCCCGCATGGTTCCGTCTTGTTTTCCTAAGTTGCCCCCTTTTTGCTTTTTATTCTCCCCTCCCCCTGAAAGAACACACAAAGCCACAGCCCCCACGTTGCAGCGACAGCCCCGACTACGTGAACCTCCGGAACATTCAGTGTGTGCGCCAGCAACAGCTCGTGCAACACAGCAGAGAGCCCGAGCCCAGCCCGAACCCTGTCCCCGCGAAAATCAATCAGCCGCTTCGTTCCTGCCTCAGCCCCACCAATCGTGCTAGACAGGACGCCTCTTTCGCCGATCCGTACTACAAGCAACAGAGCCAGATGACAACCGGCACCGCTTCAGAGATCGAATCCGGCTACGTGGACACCAAAGTCGCCCGCAGCAAGACGCCGACCTTCGGGTTCATTCCAGCGAGCAAGCATTCGGGAGACGCGTACAATGGCAGCGAAGGTCACTCGGACCGGAGCCTCAGCCCGAGCAACGCGCTCGTCCAGCGCGGAAATCGGAGGCGTCCGTCTAGCGATCGGATAGTCTCCGAGGCTTCCCCCGCCCGCCGTAACGAGTCGGAAACATTGCCTAAGGAATTGAGGCGACGGAGCGACGGCTTTGCCGTGACGCCCCCTGTGTCGCCTGGCGGGAGCGTTGAGGGTCAGGAGCACGCTCCGCCGGAGGGGCCCCGTAGTTCGGTGTACGGACGTCCGCCAAGCACTTTGCGGACCGCCGCAACTTGCCTAGATGTTGCTGAGCGGCGCAACGAAGAGGCACCTTTGGGCAAGACTCACGGTCCCGACCGCGAGAGTGTGCATCCCGGCCGCAGCGCCGGCCTCAAGAACTCTCCGCAAGACGTCGTTGCGCAAGACCGAGTTTACAGCAATTCGAGTGTGTGGCGCGAGGAGAGTAGAGTCTCGACGCGGCCATCGCATCCGGTTCGGGAGACTTCGAAAGAACCGAACGCCGAAGGGTTTTACATCAAGAAGGAGGACTACTACCGTGCCTCGCAGATGTTCTACCCAAAGCAGGTGGCCTCCAAGAGCCTGCTGAGCTCGCTATCGGACAGCGCGAGCAGCGGCGTGCTCGAAGTGGAGACATTTGATAGCCGCTACCGCAGGAGTGCCACCGTCCCGACAAGTCCGCAGTGGGAACTGGACAAGGATGTCGGCCTGCCGCTGCCAGACAACCTGGACGTTTCCTTCCAGTCGACGAGCAACAACTCAGTTTTTGAAGGCTCCTGCGAGTGCCTCACTCCGGGCGACCAGAGTCCGGAGTTGTTTCAGGGAACGCTGCGTCCCAGCCGCACATATGTGAGGGATCGTCGGGTGCAGAACGACCGGTCTGGGGATGTTTCCGCTGGCGCCGAGGCAAAGTGCCGTGACGAGATGACCACGAAGGCCGGCGCCAACTTCGAAGAGCTGCGCTCGGCATTTCAGAAGAGGAAAGAGGCTCCGCCGACCAACATAGTGCAGGACCGGATCAAGCGCTTCGAGTGTAAGGACGAAACGGGGGTTGCAGGAAAGCCCCAAGAAAACTGGCCGGTTCTGGATAAGAAGGGCGGCGGGGACTCCGAAGGTCCCACGTGCGAACGAGGGAGGAACTGCAAGGAGGGAGACGGCGGCGGCGGCCCGGTGTTGTCGAAGTCGGAGCCCGCCGTGCACTACGGAAACTCTCTGCTGCTTACAGATCTCCGCAGGAGCGCCGATTTCAAGAAGGAGGGTGCACGAACGGCGGACGACGGTGCGACACCGCCCAAGGTTGTGAAGCAGGAAATCGTGGATGCGCCACCCGTGCGTGCTTCGCTTTCTCCGCCGACGCCGGTTCAACACCGGTCTCCCGAAGCCCACTACCTTCCGATGGGGGGATGGCTGGCCAAAGAGGCCGACTACGTTTCCATGAATGTGGACCTCAGTTCCGGCTCGCCACCGGACGAGCCCGTGTACAATGAGCCCGTCCTCCCCGTGCCGAGCTTCGTGCACGACTCCTTCGGCAAGATTCGGTCCCTGTCGCGCCAGTCACCGAAAAAGGAGAGTTCGGAAACGAGCAGCGAGGAATCAACGGAGAACATTTATGAGCAGGTGCGTCAGGTCACGGAAGAACCGCCGGCACTGGCCGCTTCCAAGGAGGCCACGCAAGCCAATGAGGCGCCCGTGTATGAAGAGCCTTACAAGTTGATGTGCAAACAAGCGGGGGAGAACGTCGAAGAGAAAGCCAAGAGCCTCGAACCATTCTCTAAGGACGGCAGCAAACAGGCAGCCAAGAAGCCCATCCCAGACTTGCTGCACCACGAGGAAGTGAAGGATTCCGGCGCTTCGGATGCAGACGACGAAGCCAGCCGCGCCGACTTCGACACTCCAAACTCTTCATTGCCGAGTTACCAGAAGGAAGTCCTGAACGAGCACCTTTCCACGGCGAACCGGTCGTCGCTTCTGCCCCGATGTTCAGCTCAATCCTACCTACCGGTGTATGCGTCGCACTCTGCGAAGTACTCGTTCAAAAGAGACAAGAGCCCGAAACCTGAACAGTCGCCGGCCGGACCGCCGTATGGGACTTCCGACAAGGACCGCGTTGAGACACCTAGAGGTCATTCCCCAAAGCCGCCACCCCTGGCCTCGGCGAGCTCGAAGGCCTTGTTGGATGGCTTCGTCAAGGCCTCGCCTTTTCAGAGCGAGCGGCCCACGAGCATTGGTCTCCTCAAGAGTTTCGACGGGGACACCAGCTCCAGCGACGCAGGGTCATGCTTGACCGGCCCGAGCTCTTCCGCGGCCAGGCCGCCTGGCCCAGACGCCTCTGCGGTGCAGGGTAGGGCGGCATCCGAAAACTTTGGCCAGGTTTCTTCACCGCTCCTCTCCACCGCGCCAGACATCCTGCCGTCCGAAGTCCGCAACGTCGTCTCTGAGTCGAACAGCAACAAGGCCCTCAACAGCGCCCCCTACTACTACTCGGATATCTTCGGCGACAAGCTGCGAATTGCCGAGAGGCCATCATCGCGCCAGGCGGGTCAGCAGGCACGCATCGCACCCAACACTCCGAACAATATCCGCGAGGTCGGTCCGACGCCGCAGGTTTCCAGGGACAACGTCGGGCGCCGGGTTAATAAAATCTCGACATCGGTGCCCGCAGGACTTGATGCGAGCCACGTTCGGACACGCTCGGAGCCCGACCCCTCCGCAGCGGAGTTCGAGAGCACGCTCCGCGGACTGCTTGGCCCGGCAGATGCTCGCAAGTTCTCCGACGCAGAGCGGAACAAGTACGTCGCTGGCCACACGCTCGAGAAGACGTCTCACATGTCGCGTTCAGTCCTCTCGCACATGCGCAAGCAGCGGCCGGACTCTTCTCCCCATCCAGAGCCTGGCGGGGACCGACCTCCGCCGGATCAACAGGACGACGCGGAGCGGCAACGACTTTTGTCACGCGGCACCGGGGGAATGCTTCCCCGACGTCTCTCGCGCTCGCTCGAAGACATGATCGACGTAACTTCTTCGCCGGTGCGGCAACGGCAGAAGGTCCGCAGCAAGACGCCCGTGATTCCGACGGCGGCGGAGTGTCACGACGATGAGCCGTTTTACGAAAACGTTGGTTTTGGAAGTGCACGGAGGGAGCGCGCCTCCCCACCAAAGTCGTTGGGTGGGGCAAGCCCCCAGGTGTCGCCGGCGAAGCACAGTGTCTACGATGGCGAGGACTTGTGCCGCGACTTTGTTGTTCCGAGGGTTTTGGCCGGGTCGTCAGGTCCCCTTGGCAATTCCTTGAAACTCCTTGCCGCCAGCTCTGACGGAATGGACCAGAAAGAAACCAGAAACGATGTCGGCTCCTCCCAGTATGACGAAGTCGGGAAACTGAGTGCCGAACTCACCTCCCTTCGGCTTGTTGGCTCGGATTTTCGCAAAGAGGCTGGCTTGGGATCCGACGACAGTGTGCGGACGCGCGAAGGTAACTGTGCCCTCATCTGCTATTCTGTTTAGCAAGCTTCCAGTTGATAGGCTGTAAATTCTGCCAAGTGCATGCCATACTTTTAGTTTGTTTTTTTGTATTTCTGCATGGCTTTCTTTTTTACCAAGTTGGGAAGCTGGAGCTGCGAGCTGGAATGGGGATGCGTGCTAACTCTATTTCTTGCACATTTTTTCCCGTTGCAACAGGAAAACGATGCAGGTCGAACGACTTTGCAAAGCCGAAAACTCGAGATGGTATGTACAGGCACAGTACGGATGATCTGCATTCGTGCAACATTGGCTGCCATTCGCTGAGTGTAAGATTTTACTGTTATTTTGTTTTTAATACAGTTGAATCTCGTTAATTCAAACTTGCGGATAATTCAAATTAACATGCAGGTCCCGTCCTATGTGTCTCTATGGGAGGAAACTCCCGGTTATACTAAACAATTTTCGGTCCCCCTTGATTACGACTTAACGAGATTCGACTGTATCTGTTTCATTCATAAAACTTATAATCTGGGCTTAATGGCGTTAGGTATGTGTAAAAAAAAATGTTCTCGTCTCCGTCTGTCGTGGACTTTCGAGAACAAGCCGCACATTTTCGAATCATTAACGTGCTTATATAACTTCAGGGGTGGAACGGCTGCGCCATTTGCGCCATTTTGCGCCAGACGCATTTGTTTGTGCCATCCTGTGTCATGTTGTGGAAACTGCGCCACAACCAGTTCCTCGCGCCATTATGCACCAAATCGCAAAACATGCGCCAAAAAAAAATGTATTTTCTCTTGGTTTCGGTTTCTAGCCACTCGGTTGGCAACAATGAGCGCGTTTAGCTTGGTTGGCCTTGCATTTCTTTGTTCTGTTTATTCTCCCTGTGTATCCCGAGTCGGAAGCGTGCGAAAAAAACTGGGGGATCGGATTCCAAGTGCTACACCACCTGCGACTGGATTGTTATTCGTGAACCATAAGCGGTTAAGCAAGTCGGCCGAGGTGAGGTCAAGTCGTTAAGCGTCAGATTGCCTGAGGCTTTGCGGCCTGGGATCCGGACGTCAGCCAGTTGAAAACAAATGAGCAAAATATTCCTTTTACTACTTCATCCTTAGAGGTTGAGACCGCATTTCCGCAAGATAAATCGTGATTTGATAGAACTGAAACGCGGTCCTATCCGAAACCTTGCCGGCCAGCAGCTCTCATGTGAGCGGTAGATCTGCTTGGCTCCTGCTTATCGCTCCGAATACGTTAACTCCGTCAATCATAGTCTGCTGCTTCGATATTGAATTGCACAATAGGATAAACTCGAAATTCGTTGCCCTGTTCCTCCGCCCAACTGCACATCCGTTGCGTACGCTTGTCACATGGTTCGCACATATAACTACTATGTCGAGCACGTGTGGGTTGTGCGATAAGCAGTGGCGGTTTGCATTTTGATCAGCTGAAAGCCACTCGGAAAGTATCAAGGACACTATCTTCAGAAACATATGGTACTTGATTTTTGGTTCTCATTAAAGGGGCACTGACAGGGTATTTATGCCCTCCAAGGGTTTTCTTTGTGCATTACACATGAGAGCCCAACTACCCATTAAACAATTCGCGGTTCGAAATTCGTTTTCTTTCCAACCGAAAACAGCCGATCAAGAGATCTGGCCGGTTTGAGTCGTGCTCACTCTCTTCCCCGTGGCCACGTGCCATTCATTATGGTTTAGACACAACCACCAAATATAATCAAAGTCGTAGGTCATTGAAGGCGCACACAAAATATTAAGAATAAAATAGAAATATGATACCCATTTTTTTGTTGCTTTTAAAAAGGTGCAAATGCGTTGTTTGGGGAAAAAGAAGTATCACAGCAACGTGACTTCCGCCACCTCTCTTCTCTATACTCTATATTTCTTCTTCCTCCCCAGTCCGGTTTCGGTTTCGAAGAGTTCCGTTTTTTTTTTTACTTTATTAAAAATATACGTGAAGCTGTAGCAAAATATTGATTGGGTAGTCTTTTGACAGCACAATAAATCGCATATAGAAAAAAAAAAAGGGGGGGGGGGGCGTGTTAGTGTCCTCTCAAGGCTTGCAAAGTTTCAAGTTTTTGCATCTGTTACACTGTTTTCCCATCTACCTAGGTCCCTAACCACTCATGTTCATCTGTGCTGCTAAGCACAATTGAAGTTTCTCCCGTTCTTGTCCAAGATACAAGCTGAAGTGCAGTGAAAACTGATCTGAGCTGTTCCTAGCCTGCTCCAGAATGTAGTTTTAGCTGCTCCCATTCTGCTCCAAAACAGCTGTTTCAGCTGCTCCCATGGCTGCTCCCAAGTACTAAATTTCACGAGTTCCACCCCTGAACTTGTTCTACCACTTAAGCTTTTTTGTAAATTGTCCCGTCGCATAATATCATTTACACTCCTTGTTTACAACGAGTGATGCTGCTTCTGAATACATAGATGTTTGCTTTGTCTGAGCCGTTTTCACTTTCAAACCACTTTCAAACACTTTCAACTGTGCTCGTCATATTGATCTCTTAACATAATGCAATTCGTCACTAATTAATGCTTCCGAGGCTTCGTATGTCCCGTGTGTAACAATCTCGACACGCTTGCAGCCCCTTCAGTTGGACTCGGAGCCAACCCCACTACCAAGCGGGGGTCTGAGCCACAGCGTGTCTGCGGGGGACTTGCTGGGAAAAAGCGTGAGTTTGCGTCGTCGGTCTGATACGACAGCGTCTAATGCGGCATAGTGAAAAAAAAACTTGTGTCTGACCACACCTTTCGCATGCAGCACGAAGAACTCGTCCTGTTGCTCATTCAGCTGCGAAGAAGCCAAAGCAGCTTGCTGACGTGCCAGATGCAATGCAGGGCGGAGCTGCAAGAGCTCAAGGAAAACATTGTGCAGAGGTGAGTGGGCTCCGCTGTTTCGGCTGGATTTCTGGATTCTTGTCGGGCTCTGCACCGACGGATCTTTTGAGGCAACTTCGCATGTGGCTCCCAGTGCTGAAATAGTGCAAAGTCAGCACTGCATCTGTGCCTATGTCAGCACTGACTCGTACCCGATTTAAGGGGACATGCACCAGGCGAAACCATTTTCTTTTAAAGGCGAAGGCCTTACTTATTTTATTGAGCGAAAGAGCGTTGAAAGAGCCAAAAAAAATATGATTGAGTGGCACGCAGGGTGACCCTACTTGTCCCTTTACCTTGGCGTCGTCCTCGCTGTCATTCTAGAACCCTAGGACGACCTCACTTGTCGCATTTTGCGAAGAACAAGCGGCGGCATCGTTGTGCGCGAAAGAAAGCCAAGTACGCCTAGACGCCAAGTACGCCTAGACGCCGTACTTGGCGTCGATTTTTAGGATGTCGTCCTATACGTTGTCCTAAACTTTAATGCGTGTAGAAACATTCCTCCCGCAGGACTATAATGCTTTCGCCTTCCTACATGTAAGCAGTCTTAAGTTTATTTCTATAATTTTAGAGCTCTTAGGCGCCCGTTTCCGGCTTGAGTGGCGTCGCCGTCGGTGTAACCTTGCACGTTGCATTATGGGAAAATTTCCCTGCTAAATAAAGCGGGAAAGTTTTCGCTAATTTCTCCGTTAAATTTAGTGGGGAAATTTTCCCGGTAAATTTAGTGGAAAAATTTCCGACTAAATTTAGAGGGAAATGTTACCGCTAAATTAAGCGGGGCAAATTTCCCAGCTAAGTTTGGCGGAAAACTTTCCCCCACTAAATTTAGCAGGGAAATTTTTGCTATATTTAGCGGGAAATTTAGCTAAAATTTGTCGCTAAATTGGAGCGGAGCAGGATGAAAGGAGGGGCATACCCTCCTCTCTGTACCTTCCCCTCGTCCTCCTCAATAGCTGCACTCTAATTCAACATTATAGAGAATTGTAAATGTCTCATTTTTTAAAATTATTTACGACATCAAAATGAAATTTTTACAGTTTATGCTGTTAGATTTGATTTAGCTTGCTTTCTTCTGTTCTCAATACAGTGTACATGCAGAAAAAAAACCATGTTCTTGTGCACACGTGAGGCATGGCGACTCTTTTATAAAAGCCCAGTAAAATTAACTAATTCGCTCCTTTTAAACCACTGTGTGCAATGAACATTAAAAATAATATCCGCAATGTCTCTTTCATTTTACAATTAAAAATAGCAAAGATGCCATTTCAAAGGGCTATTAAAAATTCCTAAATGTTTCAGATAAAAAATATACATTCTAACCAAACCTAGATAGTTGCATTCTACATATTCTAAAGTATATGCATGGCGAATTTGGTTGTGATAGGAAAATAATACCTCTCCCATGCATGAATTACATTGACCATATAAAACAAAGTATACTATGTTGGGACGTTCATCCAAACCATATGTAGAGTAAATGAAGAAAAAGGTACTCACAAATATAATTTGCAAAAGCAGAACAGATCTGTTCTCAGTTGAAAACAAATGCATTCCAGTAGTCAGGTAATCTCATTTTTGGTGTTACGCAGTAATTTTTTTTAGCAAAATGGTTGTGTATTTGGTCTAGACATGTTAGCTCTGTATAATTTCTGTATTGCAATGCTAAACAAAATCCTGCAAAACCAGAAAATGAATGTGAACATCTCACAATGCACAAAACCCTTCAAAGTACTTGAAAAAAAGTGGGGCATTGCAGTGCCCACAAGTGCATCACCCGTCTCACAAACATCACAGATGACATCCTCTGTGCCCTGCCATTCTTCAGCACTGCTGATGTCAAGGCCGTCTTCAGATTAACCGGCTATGTATGTCTAAAATTTGGGTCAATTTCTTCTCTTGTGAGGGATAACTTCTGTCTAGACTTTTTCATTCCACCGTAAGAATGCAGAGCAATAAAAAACTCGCAAGTGTACAAGTCTGTGTTTTGCGGGAAAAAGTCGAAAGCGCGCGAGCCAAATGAGGGCAGTGTTACTGCATAGTGTCCCCATTTGAGGACAAATATAATGAGTGTAAACAAAACAAATGGAGATAAAGTATTTCTAAGTTTTGCTTGCTAATACTTCATTAATGGCTAGAACAATCTGAAAATTATTTTTGTTTCAATGTTTGTCAATACTGGAGGTAAAGAATCATCTACTTTTACGAACTGCTGCTTGGTCATGCTACAAGGTGAGACGAAGCAGTATACCATCTGGATGATCACCGGCAAGTGCTGCCATCTATCAGCCAGCTGGAAAAGCTTTTTCGGTCCTCACTTGAGGACACTATGCCACAAACCCGCGTGTGGACAATATGCGTGAGAGGATTAAGAACAGAAATTCTTGCATGTATACTGTGAAGATGACCCAAAATTACATAAACAGAAAAACACGTTTGAATAGATGTGTAGCTGTATTCTTTCGCGGTGCAGAAACTATTATTTTTTTAATTAATTTTCGTGAGAAATTAAAGCTACAGATGACTGCAATGGAGAGGAGACCACTAGGCCTACCTGTCAACAGACTTGTGATGGCGGGCGACGTCACAACTTGAAGAACCACGCAGAGAAAAATGGCTCAAATTCATGCCGTTTCGGGTTGCCCGGAGGTCTTCAAATGTGTACCTGTCTAATTTCACAATCGTAACTGGCACTATTTATTTTTATACATCAAATATGAAGATTAAAAAATAATAAAACATCATAAAACCCGAAATCAATTATTTTTTTGCAAAATATTGCCGTTTTTTTTATTTGCATCTTTCCTCAATGTTGCATTGTTTGTGTGTGTGTGTGTGTGAAGAGAAAACGGTTGAATCGCATTCCTTTAAACTTGTGGGATTTTTATTTTTTTCTTCCTTCTCGGTGTGATTGCAGCGAGATGAAACACAGTGCTGCAGATGTCCAGAGACTCGTGAGCCTGCAACGGAGCCTCAACGAGCTCACGCGGAATCTCGGGCTTACTCGGCCCCTGATCAGCCTGGTAGAGAACATGGTCAAGCTGGGAAGTCTGTACAACATTGCTGGCATTGAAAAACAGGTGGGTGATGCCACTTATTTTTACGGCGGACCTGTTAAGGGTTAGTTTCCCTAGTTTTGTGTCCAATACCAAACAAATGTCGACACGAAACTACACAAAACTCTGGACAGCTACCGCCAGCGACGGCGGCAACCAGACAGCCAATCTGGTTGCCGCCGTAGCTCATGAATGGCGGCAACCTTTCCAGACTTTCCGTCAAGGTACACGATGGGATGGTGGTCTCCATTGTGTACGTCCAGACTTGTACGTGTTACTGAAAAAAGTAGCCTATTACAATTACAATTACTTCAAAGTAAAGAGTAAGTGATTACAATTACAGCCTCAAGAAAGTAATCGAAAAATTACTCCAAAGTAATTGATTACTTCCCACGTAACTTTTCATAAAACTTTATTTTATTACGGTAGCACATAGACACATTAAATAGGTGTTCCGCATTTATGCCTTTCTTGTCCTCTACACCTTGTTCAGTTTCAGCAGCAGTCGTATCTCGAAGTTTGCGTCGGTCATCCGCCAATGAATCTTGGTGTCATGAACAGAGCTCCTAGTTTCAATTGGCACTGTTGAGGGAGGGATATTATTCGGGAACTAATATTAGGGATAATGACATAATTTCGACAAACCTAATGAAACATACCAAATACGAACTAAGAATATGCAGTTGACTCTCATTAATTCAAACTCCAATAAGTCACAGATTTTAGTTTGAATTATCAGAAGTTTGAATTATCAGAAATTCATCTAAATATGATACTAGACAACATTATGATTTGTTACGTGTATAGCTACTCATACAGAGCAGATTTTTGCCAGTTTCCTCCACATAGGCCTAATTATAAGCAAGTACAGGCATAACACATTGGTGAAAGAAGTGAACTTTGTCTTTGTGGACGTCCAGAACACCGGGTGCAGACTACAGTCTGTAAAACGCATTTAGTGTACGTCGGGTATTGCGAGGATACGGGAATACAGTAGACTCATTAATTCAGAGTCCAAGAAGACATGAACTTTGTTTAAATTATCACAAGTTGGAATTATCAGAAATTCATCTAAAAATTATGCAAGATAAAATTATGGTATGTCATATGAATGACTACACATTCAAAGCAAATATTTTGTGATTTCCTCTCATAGGCCTACTGATCATAAGCAGGTATTTCCATACATAAAACATTTGTGAAATGTATGACATAAGTTTGTTTATCCCTTAAAAATGTTGTTCATTGTGGACTGTTTAGACAGCAGATCACAACTCAAAACAAAATTAGCTTTGTTCATCGTGCCAAGAGGTTGTCTGATGTAGACTATTAAGCAGGGAACACATGAGCAATGAAAACTGGCACCGCGCGGCAGTTTTCATAGCAACTTGCGCGGACGCCGTGACGTTGACCTATGCTATGCCGCCATGTCGCAGCGTCCGCGCAAGTTACCGTACTATGGAAATGTTTGCGTGGTGTTCGCTTTCAGAGCTCATGTGTGCCCGCTTGAGCCCCGTTGAGTGCGCTTCTCACCGAGCACCGGTGCACCGCGGAGAAGCAACACCCGCGGAAGCACGCTTCGCGGGTGTTGCTTCTCTGCAGCGCACCAGTGCTCGGAAAGAAGCGCACTCAACGGGGCCGCGAGAACAAAAAGTATGAATTAAGCGCAGTGATGTGATTGCTGCGCCAATTGCGCCGAATTGTGCCAAGCGGCTAATCTTGCTACATCCTGCTACATTTTGCCAAAATATGGGTATTCTGTGCCAAGCCTGCGCGAAAACACCAATTTCAGTCGCCTTTCAAAACTGAAACTGAACCGAGTGCCGTAATTAAACATGCGTGTGTTATGTGGCACAAGTGGCCGCCGCTTTTACCTTGTTTTCCGGCGTGGCAAGCATGCGCCGCTGGACTGTTTTTTGTCGTATGCTCGACAGTTACATTTTGCACACAATTTTGGGAATCAGTTTGTGACGTAGCAGAGTGGCATGGTTTCGGTTTTGATCGAACAGCTGTTGTCTCCGCTCGCGCGACGAAGCATGCGCAACTGCAAGCCTCCCGAAGTTACTTTCACGTGCTTACGAACATGATTGCACGACAGCAGTACGAGCCGGGATATTGGCAATCCATTGTTTTGCATTTGCTTATTTTTGATGAAAATCTGGCACGTCGGAAACCAGAACAACGGTGGCAAGCGGTTTTTCGGAATCGCTGGGCAATGTCTACAGCACTGTACACTTGTGGGATGTCTCAGCAGTAAAAACACAAGCTGTGAGTTCCGTCACAGCACGTCACTTCAGAACACAACACAAAGTGCCCTTCATTTTTACGGCACTTAAAACAAATGTTTTTATTTTTTTTTAAGAATATCTGCTCTAAAAGCCATTTTTGCTGCTCCGAAACACTGTCTTGGCTGCTGCAAAAATCACTTTTGCTGCTCCAAAGCACTGTTTTGGCTGCTCGGAAAGGTGCTCCAAAATGGCTTAGGCCAATCACATCACTGTAAGCGCAAACATTGTTCGAATTAAGTGGCTTATAAATACAATTAAAACATAGCGGGACAACCAAAATTTTCAAATCTGTTTGAATTAACCGCAAGTATGAAATATCCGAGTTTGAATTATCGCGAGCCTACTGTAGATGTTCGAAAGTGATACCCCCTAAACCGATTGAAAGCTCATAGGAGCATGCTCATGAATTTGAATACAAACTGTTTCTTGGTTAAAAGCTAAAAACAGTCCAAAGACACGGAAAAGAACGAGAAGGTAGACGAACAACAGCACTGCTGGAAATATGCCTTGAAAAGAGAGTGGCCAGTAGAAAACTAGAGCTTGTCACCTAAAGCTGTCGAGTGAAATTTGCTAAGCATCCTAGAAACTAGGGTGTTATAAATAAACATTTTAAAATAGCACAGTAAAATAATCAACATAACAAAAAAGCACGTTACCGTTATGTGCGTCCGCAAGTTGGAGTTGGTCACCCTTGAACATGAAAGAATCCTGAGTAGTGACCGACAAAGCAAACATTTGAATGTCATGAGTGTGAACATAGGTGCAAGCTGAGGCCACGGAGAATCGAGGCCTCATTCTTTCATGATGCTATCACTTCCAATTTATTTATGAACTGCCTAAATCAGGAGAATATTTTTTATTTTTATAACGAGAAGAGCACGTCACCTCCGTCATGTGCAAAAAAAGATATTGTTAATTGGATACGTCAATTTCCTTCTAAGAGAAGTTAAGACCAACAAGATAAAAAAAAAAAAAAAAAGACCGCAGATTAACACTACCTATACTTTGTTTCACCTTACGTACGGGCGCAGGGGATGCTACGAGCACTTGGAGCCAATCCAAGGCCGTGTGGGTGTCACGTGACCTTAGGTGAGGGGGGGGGGGGGGCACAGCGACGCGCGGAAAGCGTATTACGGACTACCTCCAGAGAGCGAGATGAGCTAGGATAGCTTGTAGGGCGTCCGCTGCGTCCGGACGTAAGGTGAAGCGGAGTATAGACCAACACGCGGCTGTGACGTCACGCCTCTGCGGTGGTGCTGTTGTCGCTACGGCGCCTGCGCAGAAGCTTCACCTCACGTGAATTTGGTTTCTGCGCTCGTGCAGTGCCCACAGCTGGTGTCGGCAAACACGGTCTTGTTTGTAGTAGACAGTGTGCCGGTCTATAGAAATCTTCCAGGTGTCGAATCTTTTACAAAAAAAACATCAATGACGGGTTAAGAAAAGTTTACGAGGTATAGAGGAGAAAGCAATGCGCGCAAGCTTGGAGTGGAGAGGAGGTATCACCTCTCTGTTTCGCTTTAGGTCATTTTGGCAAAGAGAGCACAAAGACCTTTCGTGCCGGAGTCAGGCTGAAGACTGAGGTCTCTTTTATTAAAGAAATAAAAGAAAGACCCCTCGGGTACGGGGTGGTCAGGTTATGCGCGAAGCGGGGGAATGGCTCTGCGCAAACTGCGGTTCTCGTTCGCTTTCGGGGACTTTGGAGCTCGCGAGCGTCGGCGACTTTATCTCCCAAGCTTTCGTCTGCTTCTTCCTCTCCAGCTCGCAGATGTTTCTTGACGTGTTGAACGGTTTTGCCCAGAGTCTCGCAAAAGAAAGAAGAAATTGAGAAAAATTGTAATAGGTAATTTTGTAATCGATTACAGCAAGAAAGTAATTGAATTACAAGGATTGTTACTCGTTAAAGGAAGTGACCAAAGCATTACAAAATTACAGTCAAAGGTAATCGATTACTTGTAACGCGTTACATACAAGTCTGTGTACCTCCCCCCCGCGACGCCCAGAGACATTGAAGCGGGTGACTTTTAACGTTGACATTGCACGCCAGGAGGGAAAGTAGTTCAGTTTGTTTATGCTCGAGCGCTTCAGGCTTGCCTGTGTGAACGAACCGACAGCACCCACGACCAGGCAACGGACGTGTATAGACCTCGTCTTCACGAAGAATGTGCCTGCCGTCAGTGTACACCCTATGGCGTTGTATCACAGCGATCACAAGGTCTTGGTCACTGTAGTTACAAAATAAGTAACAACCCCGGATCGTTATATATATGTCTGATTCTTTAATTGTTCAAATAACCAATTTCCCGATCACTCCTTAATGCATACATTTATAAATACTTTATTCCCACCATAGTACAGCTTTGTTGGTCTTCCTTCTTCACCAGAGTGGAAAGACTGACAATTTTTTCTCTGTCGTATGTATTGTGTTTTAGTTTCACATGGTAACGGCTGGCAGTGTAGGTCGTCTTTCCTAAGCTCCATTCAAATTACAGCCTGGAACGTAAACACAATGTATGTTAAAGGGAGGCTGCGGCAATTCTTATGCCTTCATTTTTTTGTTGCAACCTATTCCAGGCTGCCTCCTGATCTCTCTCCTGTACATGCACACATACACAAAGGAACGTTAAGGGAGGACACTACCTAAAAGGGTCAGCTTTTTAACCTTTGGCTTAACATGAATGAAAGTTACAGTATATACTGGCACAGCGGTGTAGACTTTCCATTTTCCCGGGGAAGGGGGGGGGGCAGGGCATCACTGTGTGCGTTATTTTGTTTACATGCCACTACTAGAAGCTTGTTACATGGCACATAAACACCATCTCGGTAAGGATCATGGCCCAAGGGGGGGGGGGGGGGGAAGTTTTTTTGGTTCCTACAAAGTCCGAAAAATCGTGGGAAAGAAATTATAGTCGTTTTTATCAGGAACACACTGACATTGTTTAGGAAAACTATCGTTTGAAAGCTAATGTAATATCCAACGTTTCTCTTCACTAGATATGCTGCAGAATGTCTAAAGAGTGCAGCTGTCAAAACAAAACTTTCAGAAAGTAATTTATTTTATGCTAACATTGCGCTAAAAAATTAAGTACATTTTTTGCCTTTTATGTAGTCGACAAAATCTTAACATCTTTTATAAAGCACACACACAAAGCAAAAAAGCAATTCCAAAGTTGCATTGCCCATTAAATTCTAGTTATGAAAAACAATGAGTGAGCCTTTCCTTTTGTCCCATTACCAAACAATAGTTTTCCTAAAGCGAAATCTATGCCAAAATCTGGAAGGGAGAAAAACGCTTTCAAAAGTGGTCAGACCTCTATATTTTCTTTAGCAACAATGGACCGAAAATAATATATAAAAAAATAACTATGAAGTGTAAACAAGTCAAAACTTTCTGGGAATACCCTCTAGATGTTGGTTAATGTAAATATGGAATTTTTTAAAATAATTTTTTTAATGAAAATGTTTTGTTTTTTGTTTTGTTTTGCTTTGAGCATGGGGTTAAGGGAAAGTCTTAATATCTAGAAACATTTTTTGATAGCCTTCGTGTTAATCAAAGTCACGGAAGAACTTTGTACCCAGACTAGCCCACGGGAGCCACAAAACACTAATCTGGCATTTCTTCCCTTTTCAGACACCTTATCTACAATTTGTTTTTCCTTAGTTGTGTTACGAAGGTTTTTTTATGATACCTATCTTTATTTATGTTTATTTGTGAGCGCTGCACCTCTTTCTCGCCATTTCAGAACGATCGGGGCGTAGCTGAGGGGACGGAATCCAGCCACGAGGACGTCTTCGTGGACAACCTTGAGACCGAGACACTAGAGAAGCAGCAGCGCATGGTCGAGAAGGAAATACTGCGGATACAGAACATGCTCGCCGAGAGCACCACCGTAAGTTGCTGCCTGGAGAGACCCCATGCTCAAAGCATGACGTGACACTTTCTTGGGATATTTCACTCCCCATTCGTTGCACATCTAGTGCACTTATCAAACCCTGCCCCTATTGGGAAGGATCTCCAACCGTTGCTTCCGTAGTGGCCAGGCCTAGAGCTAAAACCACAGTGACAATGTCAGCGACGTGAAGATATTGGCAGCGACCTTTATCTCCAGAGCCCTACAATGCATAAAATGCAGTGTTTTAGAAAGGATTGTTGAAATTTGTTTAGAAGACAAACTCATTTTGGGGAGTGTAGAAGAACCCATATTTTCATCAGTTTAGCCAAGAAACTGACTTGGTGCATAGGCAACGTGACATTATTTTCCCTGGCAAATTTAGCAGGGAACCTCAGTTACTGTATAGGTCACATGACATCAATGTTTCCACCAAATATAGTGGAAAACTGAATTGGGTGCATAGGTCACGTGATGTCAGTTTTCCCCAATAAATTTAGCGTATACACATAATTATTGTATGGGTCTTCCAGTGTCGGGCCACATGAAATCATTTTTCCTGCCAAGTTTAGCGTGAGATGCACGGACGTGCGGACAAATCCTTGGGATTCGGGGAAGGGGGGGGGATTCATGTAAAAGCATTTTACGCTTTAATAATTTGTGATGTTTCTAACATAGCGTTCGGCTGAGGCTTGCATTCACTTGAGAAAGCACCAGTTCAGCGCAAGTCCCAGCCGAACAGTGACACAGCACTATTTGCCTCGAATGGCAACTGAAGGTTGCTCCTCCTTTTCTCGGCATTGATTCAATAAAGCAGCGCGGAAGCTTACAGACCCTTTAGACAACAATGCATGTACCAGGTTGTGTTTGTCTCCTAGTTTTACATGGGTGGCTCAGGCCTGCTAAAATAATACTTAAACTGGAAAAGTTTTTAGCTTAGGGTCAAGGAAATGTTTGAACTGGGGGATTGGCTCCCCCAACTTAAAAATTCTCAGGTGTTCCCCATGGGGTACTCCGGGGACACTGGGGAACCCAGTTTGTGAACCCGTGACATAAAGAATATAGTGCGTGGGCCTCGTGTTGGGTTTAAGCACCAAGCCCCGTGGAAAAACCAGCTGGACAAAGTGCCTCTAAAGTTTTGTGTAAAAAATAATAATTGGTTTATTTTGCTTTCTTTTTGCTTGTTTTTAGTTTGGCAGCCCCTTGAAGGAGGACCTAGAGGTTGAGTTAAAGAGGCTTCAGAAGATTGTGGACAACCTCCTGCTAAGGAAGGGCAGGACATGCCCTAGCCCGGGCCTGCGTTTGGAAGAGGACCGCAACACGGCCTCCACTCCGGAACCCAGACTCAGCCTGGCGTGTGAGTGTTCATGTTCTGTGGTTCACGTCGAAAGTATGAAGACATAGTTACCGATAAAGTGACGAGGGAGGGCGCATCCTTCAAAGGCCTGGCGTCCAGCATGGGCGCATGTTGGACACGGGAGAACTGAAACTCTGCCGTTCTCATATTGTCGGTGACCATACTACCAGACAGTAATATGTGCTCTTTACAAATGCTGCTCGCGTCTCAGGAAGGGAAAGGTTTTCAAGAATAACGTTCTCTCAATTCGTAGGAAATCAGACAACTTTAAAAGCGGTTGGTTCTCGATAACGGAAAAAAATAATTATTGGTTCAATCGCGTGCTGGTTTGATACCGCTTGCTACATGTATCAGAATGGTTTTGCAAGCATGTGGCACTGTTTCATTGACACCGAAGCAACGAGGAATTCGGTCTTTGATTTGCACGTGTGATTTCTAAAGGTAAACCGTGATCGAGCTAATTGTTACGAGTTACTGAAGAGACGTCGTTTTCAAGTTAATGACCTGGATTTTTTTCTCTTTCAGGTGTGCCCGAGCGAAAGCGGCATCAGAAGACCTACTATGAGACAGACTTGGATTCGTGTGTTACCAGTAACCTGGCCCTCTCAAGCCGCCCGTCATCTCTCTACAACATGTCTGGGGTGAGTGAGTGGAATTGGGTTCCAGGCATGGGGGGGAGACACAATGCCACTGAAGGTTCTGATGTGCTAACCTTTCTGAGCTTTTCTGGCTGCTTTTGCATTGATGAAACTATGTATCCTATGTGGCACGTTGCGTGCCTTCTGGTTGCAACACATGGAAATTTTTGGGAACCATGGTTTATGTAACTTTAAGCCATTGGTACTGTACAACAGAACTCACAAATGCACAAGAGAATTCAGAAAGATTAATCTCATTTTTGTACTTCATACAGATTTGATTGGCATCTTTCATTATGAATTGGGTTGCATCAGCTATAGGTGTTTTCAGTGGTTCACTGGTCATTGAGCTACTAATGTACTACTAAAGCAAAATTTACAGACACACAGTTAGTTTTTATAAGTGGGTGTACTACTGCATACAAATGCGGTCACCAAATTCAGATTTGAATTATGGTGTATGTTCTGTCGGTGTGTCTGCAGTTCGTTGATCATCGAACCACTGATATTGTAATAAACTTTACAAACATAATAAGTCTTAAGTGAGTTTCACTCTGGTACCACTAGTACATAGAAATGGGGTTGGTCACCAGCTTCAAATATGAACTGCATACCATCAACTATTTGTATGCCATAGCACTACTAGTGCTAATAATAGAAAATTTATAAGCAAAGTGTTCTTTTCATAAGGGGGTTTCACTCCATTATTTCTACACAGAAATGTGGTCACTACCTTCAGTTTTGAATCACATGCCATCAACTATTGATATGTCATATAGTGCTATAAGTACCACATAGAGCTAGTACTTACCCCTAGTACTACTAGTACTATGTGCAAATATGGTCACCTCCTTCATTTTCGAATCGGATACCATTAACTAGAGCCACACAATAAGCTACACTTCACTCTGTAACGGCACTTACCCATCTTGGGGCTTAAAATCATGGTTGCCAGCTATATGAAGCTGTATCTGAAATTTCAGAAAACGCTTTTTTATCCTTCACAAATGTCTAATGCGACAGAGCAAAACTATATTACATGAGCTTCCTAGTACCGAATCTAATGCCGAGAAAGTCACACTTTTGAATCGAGACGATCGGCAGTTGTTTCTGCCCAGCACTAAGCACCAAGATGGAGGCAACCACAACAATACTGGGAAACAAAGTGCCGATTTGTGTGGCTCTGCTATCAACTATCCATTCCTCATTCTGTCTATCGCTCGTCCAGTCCCAGATGGATGGATTGGAGTCGCCGAGCTTCTCTCCGGAGCCGTCGGATCGCATCGAAGACGACGACAACTCATGTCCTACGCAAGACATGAACGAGGCAGATGACCGGACAAAGAAGTTCTATGGCCTGCTTCCGCGGGACCGGGCCCAGGAAATTCGCACGGTGCGGATTGTGAAACGGGAGTCGGAGAGGAGGCACAAAGGAAAGGACAGGCGCAAGGGTGGTGCATCCGACGACGGAGCTCTCGTCTGGGTCGTGGAGCAGCCGGAGACCTTCTTTCCTCACGAGCAGCAGACGACAGGTGATTCGGACGTTACGATCACTCCTTTGCTGCATTGCCGTTGCGTAGGACCGCTCTGTAAACAAAGACATTCGCTTTTTGTCACCAAATGCAGCTTCAGATCGAGATATTATTCGTGCCACCTCTTTCACTGTACTCCTTGTGTAAAGCGCAGCGGTTGGCTTTCATGCTCGGCAAGGATCTATATGTGCAAGCCTTCTTTGTGACATATGGAGGCTCTGCACAAGGTGTAGGGGTCGACACCCCAATCTATCCTTTTCCGAATTTACGGCTTGAGTGTTTCTTTTTACGATGCAGCACGCAAGTGTCACGGGCAAGTACAAACATTCCTTCAAGCAGCAAAGCCATAGTAGGTGACAGTTTAAGAGTTTAGTGGAAGCTCCTTCAACATCTTCCCACTTTAGCAGAGTCAATATTGGAGAGCAGGTCGCCTCCTTGCCAGCGATCGCTTTGCTAAAGTGGGAAGAGGTGAGAAGATTTTCCCCTTAACTCTTCACCTATCACCCGTCTGTAGGTCCCGTTGGCTCTATTGGGCTATGGTAACCTAGGTTCAGGTTCCAAAACATTGCTTTTGTGCCCATTGCGGCTTACCTCTCGCCCCCAAGTTCATAGAAAGTAGCTTCTCCCCTCCCCATCCTTACTGTGCCCTTTGTTTTTCCCGAGTTTCCCGCCGAGGAATCCTCGAACTGAGACTTTGACAAGAACCACCGGTTTTTCCGAAAGCGCTGGACGTTTCAGTATCTCACCATGTGCTCAATAGAGGCACCAGCTATGTGATTTTCGTCCATAGAAGACACATTCTTGAGTAAATGTTGTTAGTTGTTTGAGTGGCACCTTGGTCGAGCACTGGTCTCTTGATGCTGGGGGCTACGACACCGAGCATGCCGAACTAAACTCAAGAACATGCAGTATAGTTCCAAGCTAGTTACAGTGTAGACTGCATATAATGTATGTCGTGGGAGTCGCAAAAATCCGCACTATAAGCGGTACCGCACTATAACCAAAACATCAATTTTTCAGGCCAAAATACATGCCATGAGACAACTTACCTTTGTAAAAGAATTTATTTTATGTTAGATGAAAAATAAAGCTTAGTTTGAGGAAAGTCTTTATTTCACCAGACTAGTACACTTCTCTCTCAAGTGTGTCACACATTTTGAAAGAAATGAGCGACTTTTGCCTGGCGCAGCCTTTTAACGGCATCGCGGGTTGCGGACGGACGTTGCGAGCGTTCAGGATTGGTAACCCTAATCACTTTTCTCCGGAGATGAAAATGCGTGAAAATTCGCATCCTTCATACGGTACGCGCCAGTAATACCTTGAGCTTGAGCACATGCATGAAATGCGCCAAATAAGAAATCCAGGCGATGTTCAAGAACACAAATGCTTAGAAATCACCACTGTAGTCGAAGTAAGCAAACACGACGACACGGGCGTTTCTGCCGTCGTGGCCCCGCCACGACATCGCCGCACGAGTAGGTGGATCTTCCCTTCTGGTACGTGCTAGGTTATCATAGCTACACACAACGAAAATTCACAGTCAAGGATACCGCTTTTACGCGGAACAATTAGATGAACGCCGTCTACGACGACGATCACAACCGACGCCATGTTTGCGGATAGAAGCAGCCGGCCTGTGACCGGCATGCAACGCGCGCGAACACTTCTCCTCGACCTGCGATTGGTCTGTCGTTGCGGTTGTTTGTTTCCAACGCAGCGGAGCAGGGTGTAAGATAGACAGGTGGGGAAACGAGAGCCAAATGAGCGACCGGATTGTGTCACCCCTCGGTTTTCTCTTTTTCTGTGGCGCCATCTATGTGGAGCACCGCAAACTCTCACTTTGGGTGGGCGACCGGTGGCGACCGGCTAAACTGACGGAGATGATTTCTCGTGGATTTTCAATGGAGGACTGTCATGCTCTCGGTTTATTTTGCGCACTCTCCCATAAAGTTCCGTGCAAATCCGATTCAAATCTTTTTCTTCTCGCCACAGCGCCATCTGTCGCAAATCGGGGGTACCCGCAAGCAGACGAGTACACAATCCGGTCGCGGCGCTGCAGTAGGCTTCTATTGGCCGTTTCCCCACCTGTCTATCTTACACCCTGCAGCGGAGGGACGCACGCACGTAAACGACACGTGCGTGCGTCCCTCCGTCGCTATGGCAACTGAAGCCTCTCTCTTTGCTTCTCCCCGTTTCTTCGAGCAACCTCCTTGCCCCGCGAGTGCCGCTTGCGGCTCACGCCGTCAGTGCCGCTATCTAGTGTCGCACAGGGAAGCGTGCTCGCTGCTCCGGTCGTCGGCGCGATTGGCGGGCTGTGCCAGAAACCGCACTATAACCGGTATTTCCCTTCGCGCGCCTGCATTTTAAGCGGTATGTAATTACATGGAGTTCTATGGGAGGCGAACCGGTGGTTTAAAGAAACCGCGTTATACCCGGTCCTGCACTATAAGCGGTTACGTTGTAAGTGGTCTATACTGTACTGACCTCCTAGTACCATGACTCTGCTAAAACTTTTTCGGCTGAATGTTACACCCTATTTAAAACGTTTGGCGTATTTCATACCACTTCTATACAGACTTTCTTTCTTTTTGCTTTAATCCCGGTGGAATTAACAGAAATAAGTTTGGCACAGGTAAAGTATTAAAAAGTTTCTAAGGTTGCAAAAGCTACACCAAGTGAAGTGAAACTTGCCATTTTTTTATTTATTACCAATCAGTGGATCCATCTAAGTGGCGGTTTTTTGTTGCAGAATCTATGTCGAACCTTGAAACAAGTTGCCCAGGCGGCAGCTACGTCTCACCATACGAGACAAAGGTGACGCAGTTTCATCCTTTTGCATCTTTTCAAACACGACAACGAAACCCTTGGCTCTAATGACATTTGTATATTTGTATCAAACATTCGCGTGTACCCCTGCAAAAATAGAAACAAGAACTTTGTTCAAATTATGTTCTGGCTTATGATTCCAACAATAATAGAAAAGATGGAGTTTTGGTGTTTGTGACGAAGGGCACGCACTACACTAGAACCTCATTGATACATTCCCGGTTCATGCTTTCTCGAGTGAGGGCACGGGAAACATCCCATAGGGTTGCACTGTTTTTTTTTCCGGTTCGTACGGTTACGGATAACACGATTTCCCGGAGAGTATGCTAAATATTCTGTCATATATCGATCGGATTATATATTTTTTGGCAATCAACATCGCACTCGCGTAATCAGAGCTCCCAACATCCGGTCTTGAGAAACGAGCGCCGAGCAGTCGTCCTCAGGGGCATGAAACACGGCGCGCATGTGCGGAGCGATCCGCCCACTGATAACGCACTTGGTGTATCTATTGTTCTCCGTAACTTCTGAGAGCCGTCCGGGTGGACAAGGCCGTTTTGATTGTATAATTACAGAACACACGGTGTGGTTTTACTGTCTTAGCTCATTATTCAATTAGTCAAACAATCTTTCCCATAAAATAATAACAAAGGATTCCAAGTACATATTTTACATATATCGATTGCAAATTTGGCGGCTTGGGCGAGAACCTCAGCACTCTTCGCCGGCATTCTTGGCTGTTGGTGGTTAGCGTCCGCACCGCTTCGTCGGTGTACTAACCGCTTGTAACAACAACGTGTCCATCTGAGGCTGTCACTCACATTTTTCTCGTCGAGTGAGAATGCTGGCGAAAGTGGCGCGAATACTGTCATAAAGAGCAACCGAAGCAGCAGCGTAAAAATTGAAACCGATATACGGCTGTCTACCAATCGAGCTTCGCCCGTGCGAGCGCATGTTTACTTCAGTTGTCAACAACGGAGCAGTATGTTCGCTTATGGCTTTTCAAGCGTTTCTAAAGTAGACACGTGATTATGGGTCACTCTTGGTAACTCCAGCAAGCACTTTGAGGCATTGTTCGGAGTGTTGAAAGCACCGATTGCAAGAGTGCGCTAGAGTAACTCTAGACTAGGACGTACAAGGGAATAGTAGCATTAGTAGTAAATGAATGAATCTGGCATTTCTTTGTTTGTTTCTTTGTGTTGGTTCAGCTCCGGTTGCTTTATCAAGTTTCGCCAACGCTTTGGCAGCTTTGATCTCGCATTCCAGCCCAAGCCTGTGCCATCTCATATCGCTATTTTTCCTTTGTCGTGTGGGCTCGTTTTGTTCTGCGAGCGATGCCATCGCAGAACTGCTTGCTTTTTCTTGTGTGTGTGTTTGTGTGTGCTTAGAAGGGGAAAGTTCAGATGGTATGTTTTCCCGAGTAATACGTTTTTTTCATCACAGTTTCTTCAAAACGTATCAATGAGGTTCTACTGTTTAGTACTCTGTCTCAACTTTTTACCGGAATGCAGAGGATGCTACGAACCTGCGAAGTCGATCCAATGCTGGACAAATGTCACATGACCTTTGAGAAGGGCATGTAGTCACGTGATACAGTGCAATCCACTTATAACGATGCCCCATGTAACAATATAGCGCTTAGAACAATCAGTTTCTAGCGGACCATGCATTTTGCATGGGCTATCCAGTCCAGATACAACGAGAATCGGTTACGACAGTTGCATTTTTGGGTTTTCTCAATATCATTATAAGTGGATGCACTGTACATTCATAGCACTGGATTGGCTTGGAGTGCTGATAGCATCCACTGCGGTTCGTCGTACGGTGAAAGGGAGTATAGCTCACATGCTTAGTAATTCTTATTGCTTGAAAATATTGTTGTTGGCAATGAAGTGGAGCGAAGTGGTATAATAGACCCTTTTCAAAATTCAATCTGGCAGCTTTGATCACTATTATCATCTCAATGTGTGGCATCTGCGCCAAACAAATACACAAAGTAAAAGAAGGAGCTCCGTAAGTGTATTATTTCCGAATGTGGTCCTATCAATCTCTTGGCACAGATTTGGTTCTAAAGCCTTTTGATGGCGAAAATTTAATTAAGGTGCTGTTTTGTATTGGGCAGTTCTTATGTTCAAATCGTTGAAACTGAGACAAATCAAAGAATTATAAGGCGACCAAAGAACCAATTTTTATATGCCATTAACGTACAAAAGTTACAGTGACCAACGAAATGCTGTTTCAAGACCACCGTTAGTTTCTCGAAAGTGAAGTGCTTTTTGGTCCAGCAGACCTCACTGAGTTTTGCAGAGGCTCTATTACAAGTAATCTCTGGTTTTGTTTTTCAGAAGGAGCATGGCAGCGCCAGTCAGGAGGACCGGAGCACGAGCTCGTCGTCGTCGGACAGTTTAACGGGATGCCGGCGAGCGCCTGGGAAGAATGACTCCCGACGCAACAAGCGGAGGCACTACACCATATCGGGAAGCCACCCTTTCTTGGACCAGCATTCGCCTTCCAAAATGGTTGGTTTCCTGTTTGCACGAAGCCCTCCCAGTTCTAAAGTTTTCAAAATACCGGGTGTTCTCGAGAAAAAAAAAACTGTTTTTCGGCCCACGTGAATAAACTATGCATCGCAAAAAGCTGAAACTCCATGAGAATGTGACGCTATAGCGGTTAATATAGAATGCGAAAGTTTGAGAATGTGATGCTACCTGGATAAGTGATAAAAGAGAAAGGCCAAGTCTTTCTACGGGCCAACGTCCACCGAAACCTAACATCGTCCAAATGAGAAATGACGGTGTGGGTGACTTTAGGATCTATTTCAGTGAAAAACACTTGCCAGTAAGAAAAATAACAATATTCTCGTTCTTGCTGCCAAGTGTTCTTCCTTGAAATAAATCCTGAGGGCCCCCACACTGTCATTCCTTGTTTTCGTGATATCAGGCTTAGGTGGATGTCGGCAGTGCTCTTACCAGGAATTTTTTTAGGGGGGGAGGGGGGCGTGTATTATTTGTTGGCTGGGATGTTTATGACTTGGAGCCTTAGGGTGCTAAGGAGGGGAAGGGTGGTAAAAATGCACGTATACATTATAGGGTCGGCTGGATTTCAGGTGGGGGGAGCGGAGGGGCTGAAGCCCCATAAGCCCCTTCTCCCCTTTGGCTATGCCACTGGCCATTGGCTCATAAAAAAAATGTGGTCTTTCTCTTCTGATCCAGGTGACATCATGTTCTGAGACTTTCGCATTTGATCCCAAACGCTACCGTCACATTCTCGTGGAGCGTCAACTTCCTGCGATGCATAGTTTATTTACGTAGGCCAAAGAAACATGCTTTTTTTTTTTTTTTTCGTAAGAACACACAGTACTTTCTGCGGAGACACAGGGGTTGAGCGGTGAGAGAGATGATATGGAGCTTGCAGGGCGAAAGAGGGCTCCAGGTTTTCCACCGAATACAAGCATAGGTGTAATCAAAAGGAGGCAAAGGCAATACCGGTGGCAAAAGTGTTTACAAAAGGGGGTGCGTGAACACCCTTTTTCTGAGATATATCGGAAAAGGGACATATCGCGATGTTTGGTCACATTTTTAATAAAGGAAAAGGTTACGCATGATCGTAGTTTTGGGTTTTCTAGAATGCTTAGGACTTGTAGATTGAGAGCATGCGTTTTCAAATGAGACTTTACGCTATATGTCTTCTGTTACAATGAAGTAGTATTGCATTTTCTTCTCTTATGTATGTCATACACATTGTCAATTACCTACCTATCCGTCGCCACTTGTGGCCCCCTCCTCTCCTCCTTTTCTTTTTACTTCATAACGCGCTCTAAGTCTTCTTGCATACATTCTTGATTCCTATGTTGACGCAATGTTCTCCGCTTTCCACTGTAGCCCGCTTGCCTGCGTTCCCGTGACGATATGGACATGGAGCGCTGCCTACGAACTGTGAACACCCCCGACATTGTCCGGTCCACCATCAAGAAGTCTGACGTGTACGACGAGCAGACGATTGACATGCAGGTGAATGGGGCTGATTCTTGAAACTGTAATCCTCGATGACAGTATCATCTCATTTGTAACTTCTTTCCTCACAGTGCAATTCAGTAACAGCCAGCCTCATCTGTAACAAGCTACTATCGTAACAAGTAACGGTTGTGAAAAGTGCTTGTAGATGAAGCACAGTGATGTGATTGCTGCACCAAACTGTGCCAAAGTGCTTGGCCAATTACATCCTGCTACATTTGACCAGAATCTGAGGAATTTGCACCAAAATTGTGCCAGTACTCAATTTTGCTTTAATAATACTGCAAATGTAATGGCTCAGGCCTCGCTACCCGGCCGGTTCGTTACGATAGGCTCGTGCAAGTTTTCAGAGCTTTCACTTATCGACTCAAATAACATACTATTCGATTTGATTTCGTATCAAACTCTATATTTTTCGTTTCACAATTCTTGTATTCGTTTCACAATAATTCTCGTGTTGGTGGTCTGTTCTGGTGGGTTATGTAGCAGTTTTGTTGAGTGCACTTCTCACCGTGCGCTGGTGTTCTACAGTGAAGCGACAACCGCAAAGTAAGCGTCTCACGCTTTTGCGTGCCGTGCTTTGCCGCAGCGCAACCTCGTGCTAAGGGGAAAGCACTCCTCCAGAGCGGGCGGCTCGTATATATACTATGCTGCGATATCCTGGCGGTATTTTTTTCCAATTCAAGATTTCGCAAAGATACTTTGGTATTGCAAGAAGATTTAAATGAACCCTTCCGTAGGTTTATTTTTTATGCCAATTCTTGTTTAGTTATCACTTTTATACGGGGTTTGTAATTTTAATTCATGCAAACTTTTTAAAAATAGGGGGTGAGAATTAGACGAGTCCTGTCTTCACCATATATTTATCAAGCTCGACAGACATTAGAAAAGGGGATAATAATCACGGTAGGTTGACTAATTAACTAAACTATCTTGGTTAGCTTTCTTTAGAAGCTAGTCCAATTTAAAGAATTTGCAAAAGGTAATGGTTTTTGAGATTTAATCGATTGATTTTCGCCTAATTTAAGAGTTGTGCTCAAATAGTGTTGCAAGCCCTGCCTAAAATGACGCTTGGAAAAGTGACGACATCATTTCAATCATGGCATCACTATATTGTCAGCATCTTCTTGGTGGGTGTGCCAACGAAGAAAGTGACGACGTCACTGTGGGCAGGGCTTTATGTGCTCTTTTCGAGCGCAATTTTTAAATAGTGCAAGAAAGTGTGAAATGATTGATTAATATTTAGAAATGCATTACCTTTTTGCAAATTCTTTAAATTGATCTGGCCTCGCCTGCTTATTCCAACTGATACAAAAAGCAAGAGTGTAGTAAAGGAGCTCCTTAGAAACATGCGGACTGGGGACGCCAACCTCGATTCAAGTTCAACAATAGTAATTGCCATCAGTACTGCAATTGTAACATGATACCTAAAGCCAGTAACTAAAAAGTGAATTAACAAATTTTAGTTAATTAGGTAGTTAACTTTGCATAACGATTATCCCCTCATCTAATGTCTGCCAAGCCTGATAAATACATGGTGAAGACGGTGCTCGTCCAACTCTTACTCTTTTTTCTTAAATCTGTTCTAATAAAAGTTATACCCTGTATAGGAGGGATTAAATTGGAACTAAATTAGAAGGAGCAGAGAATGACAGCTTGGGAGGTACCTTAACGAGTTTGGTGGGATTGTTTTAAGAAGGCATATGAATAGTTGACATGCCAATTTTGGTTATGAACTTCTACATATAAAATGTAATTGACATTCATAATCAAATGACAAAAACTTTGTCTTGTTCTATCCGAATTAAGAATCACAGTTTTCTAACAACCTCTAGAACTTGACGGAAACAAATTTGGCTGCTCAAAATTATTGTGCTCTAGCATTATGTCAGTGGGATTCTGTACCTAAGATTCATAGCAGTTTGTGCTGTCATCATCGGTCACCCTCTTGTTACCGTTGCTGGTGCTTCTGCACGCAACTAAACATCTAGTTCCAGTCTTGAGGGAATCGCTTCTGCTGGGGGTGCAGTCGATGCTAACGAAAGGTTGCACATATGTGAGGAGGCAATGTAGGCATTACCTTTTAGTTGTATTACACGAATCTGAACATGATATTTGCAATGGTATGAATTTAAATGAAGTGTGCACTTACGCGCCAAAAGTTATTTTTGCTACTCTGAAATGGACCTTCGGCTGCTTCAAGAACTCTCGAAATTGGCTCTTAAACCCCCCAGGTCACGTGACCCCCGAAGGTCACGTGGCCCCTCCCCGAGGTCACGTGGCCCCTCCCCGAGGTCATGTGACCCCCCTCCCCCGAAGTCACGTGACACCCCCCCTTCCCCGAGGTCACGTGACCCCCTCCCCCCAAGGTTTAAAACATATCTACCGACTATACTTACTTAACTGACATATTTTGCGAAAGCTTCATAGTTGGTTAAAATGGTCTCAAGGTAGTCCCAAGGTTTCTATCAATGCAGCAAGCCTGTAGCACCTGCTGCATGATTTTGAAATGGTGTGTAGCTTCCTTACGCCCTTTTTTGCACATTTTGCATTATCTCTGTAAAGATTGGCCTACCTGAGAAGATCTTGATACCGGAGCGCTACATCGAAGAGGAGTCCGAGAATGTTTCGGCGGTTGAGCAGCTCCGGAGGAGTCTGAAAGCGGCCAACATTCGCAAAATGCTCACGGAGACCGTTGGGTAAGTTGCATTTAAGCAGTATATAGTCGGCGGATAATCTGCAAATGTGAAAATCCTCTTCTTCATTTTTGTTTTTTTCTTTGGGAGAAGTTAGAGCCAGTTAGAAAAGGGCAGCTATGGATGCGGCAGAACGACTGCCAAACAGTTCTCTTACATCTTTCCGAGCCGTCCTTCAAAATAACTTTGTGTACGGGTTTGGTGAATGCTTAATGCTTGGCAGTGTACCGACTTCCGCAGTGTGAAGGTGCCTTCATCTTTGCGATACAGACAAGCACAAGCTCGCACTGGGATTCTGAGCTTGTGAACATCATGCACGGCCTGTCAATGGAGGGCACCTCTGTCACTCCCAATGTTGTTATTGTCGGCGACTGGTTAAGAATTAAGCTTAAGCTCCTCCCTCGTCCTTCCACTATTGCCGAGCGACTGCTGGAGAGGAGGTGACCTCCTCTAGAGCATTTGCTCTGCTAAAGTGGAAAGAGGTGGGAGGAGCTTCTACTTTACTTTTAACCTGTCACCAACTATAGCGCATTATCATTCGTTGCTCTTCTTTTAATATATTGCGGAAATGGGCTTTCAGTATGCTCCCTAGAAAAGTGAATATGTGTCTTTGTTCATAAAAAAAGGTAGACCTAGAGTTTTCCATGTTTTGCAGCTTTTTAGGCTGGTACATTAGCAGCACCTCTCTATTTTGAAGACTGATATTAGTAATGATTGCATATGGTGAAGCAAAGTAGTATGCTTGTAGTAGTAGTGATACTGATGTATCAAAGCTGTTTTCCTGACCAAGCTGACTTTACTCTAGAAAAGTTTGTGTAGTTTCATCTAGAGTAACTGTGTCGTTACTCTAGAACAGAGGTCTCCGAACTTTTCGGCTAAGAAGCCGGATTAGGAATCTGTCACAGTCTCGAGCGCCGGAATAAAGAAGCAATTATAAATGAGGAAAAACTAAATAAAGAATACTATACAAGCATTTAAATGCAGAAATTAATGTAATAGGAAGTATTAAAAAAAATACTAGGGTGGATGAAGAGGTACGCCAATTTCAATTTCAATATATTTATCTGTGACATTACATCAAGAAAAAAATTTTAAGAATGCTAGTTTTATATTCTGTGACCAGAGCCCTGCAGTTATGAGGGGTAAGCTATCTTTTGGTGTTCTTGTAATAATAGCAAATCATACCAAAAATAAGGAGTGCGTTATCTTTTAGGAATCGGTTATTATTCTCTGGATATTACGGCTAGTTTGTTCTGGCTCACTCTTTTCATAAACGCTCGCGTACGTCGCAATCTGCGACCCCAGGTACGAAGACCTCGACGCCAGGGGTTCTCTCGAGGCCGTCCGGTCGCAGGTGGGGGAAGAGAAGAGGCGGCGGGCCCACCTGCTGGCCCTCAGCCACACCATTGCCAAGGAAGTCATGGAGAGGAGCAAGATGGTGGCAGGTCAGTGGACATCCCCAGTTGCTACCCGGAACGATTGAGGCCAGCAAACGGTCTCTTTCGCCCCTCCCCGTAACGTTGTCGCACCGGAACGGCGCCAACTCGGCGGTTGGGTCCAAGCCCGACAATGGCCATCTTTTGATGCCAATTAGACGCAAGGCCCGGCCGAACGCCGACGTAGGGATCTTGTCCAATCTACGTTTGCGATCGGAGCGCGTCGACGTCGAAATTCTGGTGCACAGGGTTTGTTTATTGTAGGGAGCGTCGGCTACACTCAGTTTAGCCGTAGCACGAGGGCCGGTTCACGCACTTGGGACTGCTTACAACGGCATGCCTTAAAACCTTTTTTAAAAAAATGTTTGCGCTTCATTTTTCTTGTGTGTGGCTCGAAAAGTTCTGACAGTGCCATAAATAACTGTTTCTCGTAGACGGCACATACATTTGGCCTCGCGAATGCCGCGAGACCTTTGTTGTGGTGAAATTTATTTCCGGGGTCTCCTCGTAGGTGGCGCCGGCATGCCACTGCATTCTTTCGTCGGAAAAGATAGCAAGAACTCGATCGTAAGCCGAGGCACGCGCACAAATGGGCCTTGCGTGTGCAATGCCAGATCCCAAAGTGGTGACCGTGTACTACTACACCCCATTTCCTCGTAACCTGGCAGACGGCGGAAGCTACGGCCCCAGTAGATCAATCAGAATGTCAAACAAGGTGCAAGACAGCGCGACGCCAGAGTGTGCTCCCCCTGCGGAGAACCGTCCTGCACCTCGTTCCGTCACTCCAATTGGCCCGAGAGGGCCGTGGCATTCGGTCTTTGCCAAGTCATACTGAAACGGGGCGTACTAGTGGCAGTACTAACCATAATAATCCCTGGAGAGGGGGGGGGGGGACAAGGCAGACAAAAGAAAAACAGTAATCTCCAAACACAGCTAGGTGACTGGTGCGTGACTGAAAAAAATCCGCCTGATCCTGGTATCTAACCAGGGACCTCTCCATTGTCCCCCCCTTTCAGGGATTATTATTGTTATTCTTGTCCAGCTCACTTGAACCTTCGCATTAATTGTATTATCATTGTATAGTACTAGTAGCCTTTGTGGTGTGCTTGCATTGAGATGGATCAGGTGAGCAATGGTATTTTGGAAGACGAGAAATGGGCCGCACATAGTGCTCCTCTTGGGTTTTGGTACTGTGGGTTGCGCACGCTACACGGCTTTATTTTAAGCATACTCAGCCAATTTTTTTTTTCCCCAAAATCGAATGAGCGGTATAGCTTAAGAATTAACACTGCATGTAGAGCTGTTTATGTAACTAGTGGTCCAAATCAAATGAAATTAACTTAACTTATTGGCCTTTCCTGTCTGACTACAAGCATATATATACTTGGTTTTGATGTCGCCTAATTAGTTTTGGTAATATTTAAAGTTTTATTTGCAACAATTATGGGAAGGATCAAAAAGACAAATCGAAATACTGAAATGAGAAAATAAACATATCTCAGTGAACTAAAAGGTCTGTGCAATCCAATAGGGTATAAATGAGAGCTCTAAAATGCTTTATAAGCTTTTTGTTTCTTTTTATGACACTTTTGTGTTTTTTGGTTTTAAAGTTATTTATTGGGAAAAGTATGAAAGGTATCTAAAAATACCTGGTGCCATATTTAAAATATTCATACCCTTTATTGGATACCTCGCTCATACACCTACCAGAGAAAGAAAACATGAAGATTGAATGTGTGAAAGTGGAGATGTGACTCCCATAAAATAGCGAAGTGTGCAAATAGTTCAAGCTGAAGAAAACAGCAAAATACATGCACAGACCCATTTTACAATGTTCTCGAGCCAATATTTAAGAAAGAGAGACACTTATTGCACAAAAAGAGTCTGGGACAAGACGATCAGTGCCCGTCAGTCTTCAAAAACACAATTTAAAAAATGTGCTCTTTTCATTTCTTCATTCAAAAAGCAGTGTCTCCTCTTAACTGAATGAGTGCTGGCTGAGGTTAAGATAAGCTAGCCAAGTGCTGGACTTGGACCAAGTCTTGGTCCGAATGGGGCACATTTATGTTCCTGCAGGGAGCAACGTGGCAATGGATGCAGTTTTGTGAAAAGAAGCATATAGTAACGTGTTAGAAACATTGGCTGCATGTTTCTCGCCTCGAAGTGACATTTTTGATCACACTGCACATCTGCTTGAGTGGGGATACACGGTAGTGTTACAACTTGCACTGCTACAGGCATCTTTTCGTGGGAAATCAGTATTCGGTCAATGCAAATGCGAAAATTGAAATACATCTTAAAAGCATCCTTTTGGGTTGTGTTCCACATCTTATTCAAGTAGATTCGAGTTACTCCCATGGGTCACATCGCACGCTAACGCAAGGGGGGTTTCAAAAGTCAAGGTCATGGCTTTGCGGTAGCGACTGTGGTTTGACCGTATCCGGTAAATGAAGGAAGGTCTGATAAAACTTCTCACCTTCTGACTGGCGGCCACTCACAACTCTATGACAAATGCACGTTGTGGGAACCTCCCTGTAGCGAGTAATTTTTGGCTGTGTCGATTCTGCATACAGCGTGTAATCGAGTATGCACTGCAGTTTTATTTGGGTATGCACTGTACAAACGACACTGGCACCCTAAAGGTGCCAGCTATGCGACACTAGCACACACACTTTCGTTAGAGGTTGTATATAATGTGCACGTAACAAAATGTTTTCGGTTTTTTTTTTTCTTGTTTTTGTTTGGTTATAAGCATGGAATGATTTTTCTGCCTTGTTTTCTTTCAGCGCATGTGAGCTACCAGGAAAACACGTAGCCCGCTTTCCCATCGTCGCTCTCACGACCACTGTCGCAGAAAAAAAAAGAAAAGAAAAAAAATATTCCAACGGGGTGGGGATTTTTGCTTGGCCTGCACTTGGTTTTTGTGCGGGCCTGTCGGGTTGTGTGTAGTTTGTCATTCCTCCACTTCGTTTTGTTGTGGACGCCATGGGCCGATGACACTGCCCCCTTCCGTTTTCATGTTTCCTACGTCTTCACGCTTTTTTTGGTTTTTGGCGGCTCCATTAGTTTTGGTGGAGACCGTTTTTGGTTGTTTTATTCACTGTCTCCGATCAGCGAGATGCGTTTGAGATTGCCGTTTTAGGCTGAAACACGAGAGTATTTTGCTTCTTTTCTGGTAGCTTACTGAGGTGTTCGTTGCATGTGCATTTTACCCTTTCTTCATCATTATTTGATGTGGCAGTTGACTTTGCATTTTATTTTTATTTGGGCTAGACCCATTATCTTGAACATCATTTCGGAGGAAACGGTTTTTGTTCCTCCGTGTGGAAGCCGCTTTTTTTGGCATTGTGGTACTTAAGTGCGGTGCCAGTACTATATCTGCTCAAAGTTGCATCGCCCCGTTGTGACTAACCATTTTGTAGCGCACTCTAGAAGTACACGTGCTCTCGAGTGTTAACCATATCCCTTTTGTTTCTTTGTGTATATGCTGTGCCTTAGCATTAACATTAATGGAGGAATTTGGTGGTTAAGTGTCACTACTCTCCCCCAGAGTTTCCCACATGTCTTTGGCCTAGCTTGCACTTGCTCACTCTGGGGAGAATGCTCCAGGTTCACCTGGGACAACCACTCGAATTCAGTTAATAAGTGTATCTCAAGTTATGCTGGCAGGTTTCTTCTCTTTATATGGAAGGAAAAAATGTCACTGCATATGTGGCATTCCAAAGGTATTATATTTTTTATGCCCTCTGCATGCAGCAGATTTTACAGTGGCATTCTTATTATTGTTTTGTGCAATCCAAGCGAGGATCAGTATTTGTGCACACCCGCGTTTTCTTTCGTTGCCTCACGGGAAAGTGCAAAGGATGGAGACAAAGAAAAAGAAGAGATTGTAAAAGGTTCACATCAAAGCGTCACACTACTTAACACTGTTTCTCATCAAATGTGCATCAGATTACCTTAGTGCGAGACACTTGCATATGCAGGGATGCAATAATGTGCTGCTTTGCTTTTTAACCCTCGTTAGTTATGCAGTTTGGCATAACTGTGCTTAAAGACCGACACACGACTTCCATTTTCTGCTGGGAGGGTAACCTTCTTTGTATGCTCCTCTCCTAAGGTGGGTAGAAGATGAAGGGAAAGAAGGAAGGAAGCAAGCAAAAAATGCAAAGCATGTGTCAGTCTTTAAGGTGCATCTGTAATGAGTTGCTAAACTAATTCTTTCACAAAGCTGATACTATAGTACTTTTTTTTTTCTCTAATTTGAGGGAGATTTATGTTTTATTCGCCCTGCACTGTATTCACGACAGGCAGCTTTCGCACATCAAGGCAGTCCCATAGCCACTGCGTGTATTGTAGCTGCGTGTGATATTTTTGGCCATATCTCGCCCCCCGATTGGCTCCCATAACTTGCCAGTGTATACCATGTTTTTATAAGGCAAATGTACTTATTTTGAGTTTTGGATATGTGCATCTCGTTCCTTGGAGGATGCACGTTCTTAGCTCTTGCGGGCAATGTTAATGTGGCCTGTAGTTAGTTAATACTCAAACTAACAAGGCTTTATCAGCAAGGATTTATCTGTCTAGTAGTTGCAGAATGCTGCAACACATTGAAATTGGAAGCAATGTTTCACAACAAAGCTCTAACTTGGGAACTTGTGGGAAGAGAAAAGAAAATAAAGGTTTGACCCTTTTTTTATTTCTGTCTGGAAACAGCTTGACAGTTGTCCCTGTGTTTTTGATTATCCTCTTTCTGCGTACTAATAATAAAAGTGGCGATTGTATCTTTACCACAGGCAGTTAAAGAGACTCAAGGACAGAGTTAGCATACCTTAGAGTCAAGAAATGTGCACTAGGAATGGAACATCTCAACTCTTGAACATACCTTTGTTTGCTTTCTCCTGCGACCTAACCAGCGGCGTCAGAACGGGAGGAGGAGGGGTGGGGGAAAGGGAAGGAAGGGGAGAGGGAGGGAGGAGGGGGAAAAAGGGAGGAAGGAAGGGAGGTGGATCTTTCACGCCATCTTCTGAGACATTTTGGGCGTTTCTAGTAAACAATTGGGGGGTCGTGTGGAAAGTTTTAAACCCCCTTTCCCTCCCTCCCTCCCTCCCTCCAGCCCTCCCTCCTGTCCCCCGGTCTCCCAAACACTTCTGATGCCACTGCCAGGCATATTTTCAAGAAATTTGTTGCCGTTATATATATTTTTTTTTAGCTTAATTAAGCTTTTAAGTGTTGACTATGCTATAATTTGACCGAATCCCCCCCCCCCCCCCTTTGTGTAATATCCAGAAATGGACCTTTAAGGACCTCTAAGGTATTATGAATAAATAAATAAACACAATAATATTGGGCTGGCTATGTGCTAAAACTTGCAAGGTAAAGGGTATATTAAAAATGGCGATAGGGCTTTTTACGGCAAGAGATCACCCGCAGAAATAATCTCAAATGTTAGCCGGCCTTCATATCTTGAAAGAAAAAAGCTCATTTGCCAAACTAGCACTGTTTCCGAAGCAAAACAACTGATACTGAAACCACATGACAGCCATGCTACTAGCATTCTTCCCGTCTACTAATCTTTTTTTTGAGACACCCGTTACACAGTATCCCCTGCATACATCTTGGTTCTTTTATGTGAATGGTCATTCTGTTCCTTATGTTATGCCTCAAGCACATTTAGAGAGCTAGTTTCAAGCACCTTGAAAAAGATCAATGGAAACTGATTTTTTTTTTAAGTGTGTTCCACATATTTCCTGCATCAAAGAATCTCAGCTTGATAAAAAAAATAAAAAAGCAGGTATGTGTAATGTTCTGTGCACAAAAACGTTATTATATCCTGTTTGGGAGAATGGTATTCCTCGTATTGTTGTGCATCATTGGCAGGGATCTGATGCGTCAGACATATGGTCATAGCACTGGTTTTTAATGTCATGTGGTTCAGGAGCGTGAGGTGATCTGATCAACAGGGCGGCAGGGTTGAGGTACTTGCTCGCCTTAGCCTTTACTATGATCATTTCTCGCGTCGAGGTAGCATTCCTACACGTGTCCTCCTGTCAAGGTAGCAGGTGAAAATGTATCGAGGATTTTCGCTTTCTCTCTAGAATGTCTTAGATAAGACCTATTGATTTCATTGCCAGCAAGCCGACTTTGATCTTTTGTCTGCCTTCCACGCTGAAGGCAATTGACCTAAAGCGACATAATCAGTTTTACCCTTCTCTATCGAGAAAACTTTCAAGCTATTTTTGCGATATACTAAGCTTGGATACTTTCTTTTTCCTCCTTGGTTGCCACCTTCTGCTTTCTTTTTTTTCTCCCTCTCCCTCCTCTGTTTCCGGAACAGTGATGGCCACGCTGGAACGGATGGACCCTGAAGTCTTGAAAGAGGAGGCGCTGCGGAGGCAGAGAGAAGAACAGGACTCTAGCCCCGAACAGCCACTGCCACTTTACCAGCAACGCGAAAACCTCCTCACGTGATTCAGCAGAAATGTGCCTGGTTGTTTTCCCGATTGAGCCTGCTTCAAACAAAACACAATAGAGGTTCTCCGAGGAGAGAGCTGCGTGTGCGCGGGCGTCTGTAGTCGGTTGGTCGGCCCAACGTCTCATCAACAGGTCGTTTCGCCGACTCGTCAACAGTTTGTTTCGTGGAAAGGCTCCCACGTATGTTTCATCGACACACGTTGCGACACTACGTTGGGAGGTTTAGTGCAAGTTCGGGTCTGAGATTAGAGTTTTATTAGACCGTTTTCTCTGTTCGCTCCATTTAGTCGGCGAGTGAGCGAGAGCACAACTCAGAGATGTCTGTCGCCAGCACGTCTCGCATGCCTACGAGAGCCTCTCTTGTAGGCATACGCTCTGCGGCCGAGTGCGTGGAGCGCCAACTTCGAGAGGGGTTTGCTGTTGACGAGGATTATTATGGAAGCGAACCCACTCCAGCACCCGCACATGGGGACGCAAGTATTGGAGCACGTCGTGTTCGTGGTGAAACGCGACTGGTCAGCTCGTGCAGTGAAAGACCGTGGAGACCGTGGAGCGCACTTCTGATAGCAGGACACTGCTAATCTGCGAAAGTAAGTGGTTGAGTTCATGTTCGTTTTGCTCTTGAGCACTTGCGCTACCCAGAATGAGGCGGCTTTGGAGTGAGGAAAACAAGCGTCCCTAGCGAGCTGTACACCGCGAATAGCAGGCTGATTTCAAACGAGAAGCAGAGCTAGCAAATCAAACCCTCTACTTCGTCAGTTACGTAATGGCCTCGGCAAGGAAATCGGAATGCGAAAGATAGGAAAACAAGAAAAGTAGTGCCTTAACGCAACCAAAGGTGAACACGAAGTAAAAACCGAACAAAGCTTTTTAACGCACTGAGTTAATGAAAGTGCTTTTCTAGTATGGTGAGGCTTGCGTCAATTAAGTTTGTCAAATAAATTGTACTTTAGAAGTTTAAATTTACTATTCCGCATCGTTTCCCGTGTTCAAGCAGCTGGATCAATCATAGCGAAGGTGCAAGCGAGCTGGACAAGAATGGCGAAAATAATCCCTAGAGAAGGGATTATTATCGTGATCAATTAATCTTTCACGTTTAATACATGTCGTGATAAATAATTTTTAAAGCTATGGTGATTTAAGTTAAATTAATTTGATTTAAATTAAACTATTTAAATAGCAAAAAAATATTTACTTGATTTTATCTTTTATGCACCTTGGCACGCGCTTAGCAGTCAGACTCAAGCGAACAAGGTAAAGCCAATAGTCCAAACAATTTGGTAAAAAAAAAAAAAAAATGTAGATTTTGCAAAAGCATGTTTACGAAAGTTCAATGTCAACAAAGCTTGTGTCCACAAAACGTGTGTCGATGAAAAGTTGTCCACGAAACGATACCGACCTGTGTTCTGGTCCACCTTGTTTTGGATGCCAAATACGTGCCACTCGGCTCAAGCGGCAGCGGCAGCCTTGGCAGGGCTTCCTTGCAGAGGTGTTGTTTCGAACAAGCTGATGACAAGTTCCTTCAGAATTAAGCTTTTACGTCCATCGCTGGGGGCCGTCATGTGGAAAAGGTTAATTGTAAGCTGGGCGCTTGGTCGCCGCCATGTCTGCTCGTGTGAGCAATCGCGTGCAGTTGCAAGCCTGCCAACGTTACCTTCACGCGCTTGTGCTCATGGGACGTGTGTCACATCAAACGCGTTTGACCTCAGAAGCTGTGCAGGGGTTCCGGAAAAAAATGTCCCAGGAAAATATGTACCCGGGAGAAAAGGCCCCAGGCGGAGGTTTGGAATCCGACTTCACGATTGGTCGGCAATCTCGCTCTTTTATGCGTCTTCCACAAGGTCGAAGGGGTGCATGTTTGTGCGCGCCTCGGTGTTGTCCCCGCGTTCCTCGGTGCGTGGATCGCTAAAGTGTGAACGTTTTATTTACATTTGAACCCGAAGCTGCATTTCACACGTGCGTCTATGCGTAACTAGTAGAGCATTCGAAACAAACTCACAAAAACGGATATGAAAGGGCTGAAGGATTCGACGGTGAGTGTACCAATATACGCAACTGAATACACTAAAAATAAGTCTCACCATATTTGGTAGTACTACCCACAACCAGCTCCGTTTCGCGTTCTCCTTATTGTTTTCGGTGTTGTATCGAAGTCACTAAGAAGTTATTTTGATTTTGACAATCACTAGCGTCGTTGCATGGCATCCAGATATTCTGTGCGCTATGACGTCAAGCACATGACCACCCACATATATGTGAAAGAGGATTGGTTGCGCATACCTCGAGAGAGCAATCTTCGAAAATACAGGTTTTGCAGTTATGTTGAGTGCCCTTCGTGGGGGTTCCGCTGACGAAACTGATAATGAATAACTGTTGCGTGAGTCACACTTACTCTTATTCTGAAGTTTTATAGAGTTTATGAAAGTTCCGATGAGGTATGTAGCACCACCGGCTCTAGTGCGGAGAACTACACTGCCACTTTTAACGTATTTCATTCCGTCTAGTCAAACAGATCTCAAAACAACCTATGCTGGTTGTTTGGTCCATTTCCTTCCTGGAGGCAAAATAGTTTACAGAGATGAAGGATGTCATGTACCTTGAAATATATACCTTGATATTTTAGCGCAGTTTACGTTATGTTTGTCGTGATAAGCGAGCGTTATATGTTACATAGCTAAACTGTAACGTCTTAGTGGGGGGCGAAATGTATAGGATGCTAAATGTATTAAATCATGTTTATTTATTTAGAGTATTATACATCTGACCACCACACAATCGCTGAGAGTGACTTGTCCACAACCACTGCCTTTTGGAGCCAAAACCACATTACCAAATGCGATTAAAAAAAAAAAGTGACGTCCAAGCTTTAAAAGCATACAATGGTGTCGCTAATGTTTGGGCGTACGGGACAGAGTTACCTATATTTGTATCATCTCCAGGTGCATAATGTATCCCGATCCTCATTGCCCATGTTAGATAAAAAGTTGAAAATAGTCTCTGTTTTTGGAGTCTTTTTTTTTTTTTTTTTTTACGTATTTAAGTCGTCTGATTGGTCACTTTTGCTTGGAGCCAGGTGTGGCTTCTCCTGGGATACCTAAATGTCGTGTCATGTTACCCTTTTCAGCTGCGGAAAACACGAAATCGCCGAAAATACGTAGAAAAACTGAAGGAGAAGGACCAGACCAGAGCGCTAAGCTCTGGTCTGGTTAGGGATTAGGGGGTACATGCGAAGGCTAGCTGCCTTTGT